GCGGCCCTGCGGACAGACACGGAGACTTTGGCTGGGAGTTGAAGTCTGCATAACTGTGGGCAAATGCCTTTCTGCTGTTTCAGGTCAAAAATAAAAGGTGACATTCTTGGGTAAGGATGAAACTGGGGCAAGTCCTGTGGGTGAAAGACTGCATTTTGGGCTTGTTGTTTCTGTTTTAACATGTAAATCCATCACAGATTTCTTTTTGTTATCTAATGAAATCTTACAGATTGTGGTAAAACACACAGGACACAGACCTTACCATCCTGACCGCCGAGAGCTCAGCGGTATTAAACACACGCGCACCAAGTACAGCTGTCCCCGTCCCCGAGACTCTCCTCATCCTGGGGGCCAAGGCCCTGTCCCCACCACACAGCAGCTCCCCAGCCCCCCTTGTCCCCCTCCCCCTCCCCCCTCCCCATCGACTCTGTCTGTGTGAGCTTGAGACTCCGGTGCCTCATGAGAGGAGTCTTACAGCATCTGGCCTTTTGTGACCGGCTCATCTCACCAGGCATGATGTCCTCCGGGGGCATCCCTGTTGTAGCAGGTGTCGGGCGTCCTTCTGAGCGAGGACCTCAACCACCTCCATTCTGACCTCCGTCTGTACTTGCTGATTACGTTCTTCTTTCCGGCTTATCTCTTAACCCGGGCGAAAGACCACAGCATCCCGTGATGGGAACAGAAACCGCCCCCTCGAGCAGCCAGGACTGCCCTGAGCCCGCGAGAGCCCCGGGACCGACCCCGAGACAGGGACGGACCTGACCTTCACCGCCCACCTGCCCACACTCTCCTCCTATAGACCTGGAGGTGTTTTCCGCACTTTGGACGCTGGCCCGCTGTCTTCCCGGTGCCGGCCTCCCTGAAATAAATCCCTTTCCTGTCTGTCTCTCTGCCTTTGATTCTGCCAGCGGCGCGTGGCCGAGCCTGGTCCGTCTGGGGCCCGCGGAGCCAGGGGCTGGTGCACCCCAGCGGCCCAGCCACACTTCCCTTTCGAGGCCGCATTGTGTATAGAGACCATGCGTGTTTATTGTTCGTGCACCGACGGGCACTCGGGCCGCTGACTCCTTCCCGCTGCTGTGAAGGTGGGTGCGGTTTATCTTCGGGAACCTGCTTCCTGTTCTCTGAGCACAGGAAGCACATGATATAACGCTCATGTGAGTGGTGACCTCGCCAATGCTGGGACGGTGACATCACGGTGTTGCGTAATCCGGGTCAGGTCGGGGGGCCTCGGCCTCCTCACCACCCCCTGCCTGATCGTCCGCATGGCGCTTACCACCCTGCCCTGGGCATTTCCAAAACTAGCCCACTTCCCGTTATTTTTAAATGGATTTAACAAATAATTATTTAAAGACTTTCCCGACGTTTTAGTTTTGAATACACTAACCAGTAACTACAATTATAGCGACTGATATAACCCACTTATGTGGGTTTTGGGGGGGAATTCGCAAGAGTTTTTTTTTTTTAAAGATTTTATTTATTTATTCATGAGAGACAGAGAGAGAGAGAGAGAGAGAGAGGCAGAGGGAGAAGCAGGCTCCCAAGGAGCAGGGAGCCTGATGCGGGACTCGATCCCAGGACCCCGGGATCATGACCTGAGCCGAAGGCAGACGCTTAACCATCTGAGCCACCCAGGTGCCCAAGAGTTGTTTTTTTTTTTAAGATATTAATTTATTTATCTGAGACAGAGAGAGCGCGAACAGGGCGAGTGGCAGAGAGAGACGCAGACTCCCCACTGAACAGGGAGCCCGACAGGGGACTCAATCCCAGGACCCTGAGATCATGACCTCAGCTGAAGGCAGATGCTTAACCAACTGAACCACCCAGGCGCCCCAGAGTTCTCGGCAGTTTTGAAGAGTGTCGGGGTCCTGTAGTTGGAGAACGCTGGTCCAGGGTGCTGGCAGGGGCGGGTACAAGCTGCCACCTGCCTGGAAGGTGATTAGGAGGTTAACATGGATGGGAGCCGTGGGACCCTCTGCAAGTGGGAGTCCGGGGTGACCTCTGGGTTTCCGGCTTGCACAACTGGGTGGGGTGCTGAGGAGGCTGGCATGGGGCGGGAGGCTGCTGAGGTCGGTTCGGTCCACTTGAGTGTGAGGTGGCAGTCAGTCACCCCCAGGAGGATGGCTTCCAGATGGTTGGCCAGACGGTCCGAAGCAGGAGGGAGGTGTGGCTGTAGCTGGAAACCTGCGGGTTATTGGCTGCATGGGTGTCCTCTCCCAGCTGGGTCAGGAGCTCCAGGAGGTCAGAATGCGGTGGGATGCTGCTCACCAGGTATGCACACGCGGGAGTTTGATGAATGCTTGGAGTGTGCGTGGGTCTGGGCGGCACCACCGTATCCTGTGACAGCAAGGCCTGCCTCTTCAGACCCCTGCCCCCGCCCGCCATTGGGACGGCTGCACCCGGCAGCGCGGGAGCCTGGGGCCAACGGACAGATCAATGACACTGATCCTGTTTGCATTGCAAATGCTCAAATTTTGTGCATCACGATGCTCGCATTGATTTTGACTTTTTAAAAGCATTAGAATGTTACCTTTACTACAGAGATTTTTGGCAGCCCCTTAAACTTGACACCTGTTGGGGGGTGGCGTTCCTCCGGCCTCACTTTAGTCGTGCCCCGAAACAGCTCTGAGCGCCGCCCAGCGCCTGACCCCGATCCTGAGCGCCTGCATTCATGTGAGTGGTGACCTCGCCAATGCTGGGACGGTGACATCGCGGTCTTGCGTTATCCGGGTCAGGTCGGGGGCCTTGGCCTCCTCACCACCCCCTGCCTGATCGTCTGCATGGCGCTTACCACCCTGCCCTGGGCATTTCCAAAACTAGCCCACTGCCTGTTGCCCAGCAGAGTGCGAGCCTGGCAGGGGGCAGAGACCCTGACTGTATCGCTCCTACCGGAGTCCACGAGCCCGAGTGTTCTGTAAATACTTCACGAAGGAACGACAGTCAGGGGTTGTCAGGCAGGTGCTTGCCTTGTGCTCATGATGTCACCGAATCTTCACGGCAACGCGGGCAGTGTTATCGTCCATGGTTTACAGAAGGGGAAACCGAGGCACAGAGCGGTGACATAACTTGCCCAAGGTCATACGGCTGGTGAGTGGCCAGACGGGGATTTGAACCTGGGCAGTATGGCTGAGCACGGGGCATTCTGGGTAACTTTGGGGTGCAGGGCCTGTGCACTGCGCCGTGTGGAGCTGCTGTTCCCATTTCCACCCACCTCTGTGACCAACCCTGAACCCCCACAATGCCCCCAGATGCCCCCTGGGGAGAGCACTGTGCAGCGAGATGCCTTCCCATCAGGAATAGACATACCCCGGGCTCCGGTGCATCTGCCGCCTCAGGGTCTGCTCATGGGGGGAGAAGGGCCAGGCGGTCCCCGTCCTGAAGCCAGGAGGCCAAGGACCCCCAGTTGGGCTTTTCGCCTTCCTTCCTAGGACGGCTCAGCCACGCCTGGACCTCGGGGTTGTCGCAGTAGCCAAGGCCCATGGAGCCCGGCACGGCCTTCGATGCCAGAAGGGGTAACAGCTCGTGGCTTCACTTTGAAGAGGCATGTTTCCCGTACGCCCTCCTGTGGACCTCAAAACGCACTGGTTCTCCCCTACCGTAACTGTTCATCCTGTGCTAAGCACTTTCCGTGAGTTAGCTCATTTAATCCTATTCTGAGATGAAGTATTTTCATCCCCATTTTTCAGATGAAGACGTTGAGGCTCAGAGAGGTTGAGTGACTTGGCTGGGCTCACCAGCAGGTAAGTGGTGCAGTGGGCGGTCACCACCAGCCGGGTCCTGTGGAACCGTCCCTCTCAGGTCACAGCAGAAGTGGGCTGAAGAGTGCCTGCAGAGACCGCAAGGGCAGGTGCGCCCGCTGGCCGCGGGTCTCAGGGAAGGTGGCCCTGGGAGGTTCCGGAAGTGGGTCTTGCCCTACTTTGGGCTTCGTGCCTGTAACTGAGGGCGGCGTGCGGGCCCCGGCCCCCGTGGGAGACCGTCAGGGGTGCCCCCGGCTGCTCCCCCCGCGGCGTGGGTGTGGGGCTCAGACCCTTCTTCCTCGACGCATTCCCGCTCACCCTCTGTCGCCGCTGGGTGCTTCGGGTGGTGGCCAGGAGCTGCCCTCCCCTCTGGGAATTCTCGTTCCCGGGGCTTCCCATGGCCTGATGGCCCCCATCTCACCTCCGTGTTGCACGCTCACGCTAGCCGTTCCCGAGCAAGTGCACTTTCTCACGCTTCTGGGCTTTCTCTGCCTGGGGTGCCCCCCCCCCCACCTGCTCTGCCTGGCAAGTCGCCCTTGCCTATCCCACCACCTCGTAACTCTGTGGGGCTTTCTCCAACCCCCCACCACGTGCCCTTTCCTCTTTTGCGTCCCCAAGGCCCTTCCCGCCCCATCATCTGACAGAGGCTCAAGTGATCTCTCTCCAGAGACTGAAAGATGCTGCAAATCCTTTGCTCCGCTTCCCATTAGGAGGAGCAGCTTGGTCCCCTTCTCTTGTGACCCAGCGGGCCTTGGTGACATGCTGGATCCCTGGGATGTTGGAGTCTGAGGCTGGGTCATAAGTAGCCTTGCAGCTTTTGCCCGAGCCTCTTGGAAGGTGGCTCTTGGGACCCAGCAGCCACCCCAAGGAACCCAAGCCACAAGGAGAGGCCAGGTGAGGGTGCTGGGTGGACAGCCTCAGCTCAGCCCCCCGCCAACATCAACTTCCAGCCACTGGACGCCCCGCCCAGTCGAGCCTTCAGTAACCCCAGCTGCTGTGACCGTGACCTCAGGAGAGCCCCATCCTCAACCCCCAGGACTCAGAAACCTAATAGAAACTGTTTCAAGCCATTAAAGCATTGGGGTGGTTTGTCCCAGGGGTAGCAGATCACCAAAACGGTCTCCCTCATCAGACCACGAGTTCCCAAGGGCGGGGTCCATGTCCTTGTCCCTCTGGATCTCTGGCCCCAGCCCAGCAATCTGCTAAGGACCAGGGGCTCCTCAGATACCCTTAGAGTGAATGAATGAAACCCATCAAAAGTCACTGTTCACCCTGAGATAGAAGAGATTTATTAGCAAGAGGTAATCAGGAAACATATATTTTTACAAAAATGGAAATTTCTTTTTTTTCCAAACAAGCTGTAAGTTGAAATATTGTAGGACTTGAAATAGAATTCTCATACCACTAGGTATTGCTTACAGCAAAAGTTGTTTGTCTGTCGTCATGAGCATGCCTGCCGCTTGAGTGAACCCGCGCTCTCTACTGTACAGTGTAAAAAATCGACGGTAGTATTCACAGAATAAGCACTACGGTACTATATTCCTGCTAGAAGGCGCTCAGACAGGACCACAGTATATGCGATAAAAACACTCGGTTATTGATTCCCTAGTTCTACGGTGTGGTACTATTTTCACAAAGCAGACAGACTCAGAGCATCTCAACGGAAGCTTGGAGTGACCATTGGGCAGCTAGGAGAGGAGGAGTGACGTGTTCTGTGTCCCCGACTTGCAGTGAACGCCGGGCCGCGGTCAGTGCAGGCCAGCGCGACCTGGTGTTGTGACTCCATGTCCCTCGGGGTGCTCCGGGGCCTCGCCCGGGTTCACGGAGACGGCTACTCATGCTACCTGGTGTGAGTCCTAGAGCGCGCAGCACGCAGTGCCGGCGCGAGGTGGTGGTGCTGGTGTCACGGGGCATGGTCCTCAGTGGAGGGGACACCCCTCCGTCCGGGTTACCGGGAGACGGGGGAGCTTGGACCCCTGTGATTTTGGCTGAAAAAGCTGCTTTGGAAATTGGCATCACCGTCAGCGGGAAGATCTGTGAATGACTGGACTTCAGGGTGCGGTCCCCTCCCGCCTCCCCCCACCCCCCAGTTAGAACAACTACATGGAACATGCTGGGAGGGCACCCGGGGGTGGGGGGCGGACGCAGCCCGGGGGCCGGGGCCGGGGCGGGCCGGAAGCAGGACGGTGCCCAGGCTCGCGTCTGCACGGGCTCCGTCCTCCCTTCCGAGAGAGCGAGGGGCCGGGAAGACTCGGACGTCGTCGTTGGAAAGAACCAGGAGCTGCGGGACGCGGGGAAGGGTGACGTCGGAAACGGAGCCGAGCGCCTATTCCGGTCTACAGGAATCTAAGAACGAGAACGGACTGGTGTTCTTGGAGAAGCACATACTAAAGAGGAAAATCCAGGAACCAGACGACTATGTACAACGTCACACAGCGCGTGTCCGTGGCGCGGCTGGGGCCGGCCGGCTTCAGGTGGGCAGTTTGGGCTCCATGCGGAGAGAGGACTCGTAGAGGCTTTCCTCGTCCATCACGAAGGACCGGTCCAGCAGGTACTGGGTCACCTGAGAGGAGGAAGAGACAGAAGGAGAAGCGGCCACAGGGCTGTGGGGCCTCTGGGACACCAGATGGCGGACGCAGGGCCTGGGAAGCAGGCCCTCCGCGGGGCGGCCAGGCCGGCGCACGCCGCTCACGGGCCTCACGCCGCGTTTTGCCTTCATGTTGTCTCGGTATTGTCATTGAACATCGTCCTGACAGTAATGCTAAGTCACGGTGGGTCAGCATGACCCTCGACTGCTTTTCTTTGGCGGAACACTAGATGAAATGTTTTGGGGCTTTTTAATTTTTTTAAAGATTCTAATTATTTATTTGAGAGAGAGAGCGAGAGAGCGAGCGAGTGGAGAGAGAGGGAGAAGCAGACTCCCTGCTGAGCAGGAAGCCTGATGCGGGGCTTGATCCCAGGACCCTGAGACCACGACCTGAGCCGAAGGCAGATGCCTAACCAACTGAGCCACCCAGCCACCCAAAACCCTGATTTTGGGTTCCAATCTTGAAAAAAAAATCGACCATGTCAAGTGTAGAATCTAAGTGGTGGGTGTCTGGGGGTTTACATGTTCTCTCAACGTGTCTTTATGCTGCAAAGATAGATTTAAACATTAGGTTGACAGAGCTCCAAGCCACGTTCACCCCAAGAAGGAAAGTGGGAACGGGCTGGGTGAGGGCTGGGGCTCCCCGTCTGGTCTCGCATGCCTCACTCCGGGGAAAAACCTTGGAGTGGACAATCCGGAGGACCCACGGCCTGGCTGGGTTCCTACAATTAAATGTGCCTGAGGGGCCAGAGCCCAACCCCGCCCCCCCCCCCCCCCCCCCCCCCCCGCCCCGCCGCCCCGGGGAAGCCCCAGCTTCGCCGAGAGTCTTTCCAAGGCTCGTTCGTTTGTCAGCTGTGGAACCAAACACATCACACGTCTTACATCGTATTTGGGCATCTTCGGATGGCTGCTAAAGCAAAATCACGTCTCTGCCGCGAGCGTCTTGGCTCCCGGACCCTGTGCTATCGTGGGGGCGGGAGCGGCTAACAGGCTGGCTCCCAGTCACTGACAAAGGGATGACTGTGTGGTTTACGCTCTCACCAACACCTCCAGGAAGCGGACTCCAGACGTCACAGTCTAGGTTAGTCCACACCCGCTGATAAAGATGTGAGTGTCTGGAGCTCCAGCCTCCTGCCAACACCCCTTTCTAGATAAACCTACAGAAATCTGGACACTCAAGCCTCCTGGGCACCAGCACACGGACCAGCTAGTTCTCTCCATCACGAGCATGCTCAAGGTCGAGCTCCCACAGTTCTGCGTCAGGGGAGGTGGGCCGCAAACGGCACCCCCAGGAAGCGGTCAGGGACAGGAGAAGGGGCCCTGGGCCTGATCCAGAGCCTGGCACGTAGCACGTGCTCAAGAAATATTTGTGGAATGAGAGAATGAACACAGAGCAAGGGGAAAGGGGTAACTTGATAACTCACTGGTTCTTCTCAAAAACATTCTCAGAGGCCAAATCTGCTGTAAAGGAAAGTGAAGCTTGACTTTCTGGGTTGCGTGGGGGTCAGTCTGGGGCTGGACACTTTGTGAGCTGTGAGCTAGAAGGCTGAGAGGCTCTGGACGGGAGGGGACGGATCTCTGGGCAGAGAAGGGATCATAGGGTTGGGAGCCAGAGTTTGGGTCAGCAAGTCTCAGTGACTTTATCTGTAAAATGGGGCACATGGTTCAGAGAGTGAAGTGAGATCAACATGCTGTCTTTACAAACGCAAATTAAACCAGTTCTGTAAGCTCCTTTCCTGGCTTCCCAGGGTCCCTCAGGACCAGGTTCCGGATCCTTCCGGGAGCCCAGGCTCACCTGGCTCGGCCCGCCTGCGGCAGCCACCCCCACACAGGCCCTCCCCACCTCCCGGAGCCAGTCTTGCTCACAGGCCCCCCACGTGGGCAGCACCCCTCTGTGTGGACCTGCGTGTGCTCTCTGCTGCCCTGGTGGTCGCAGCCAAGGGCAGACCCAGCCTAAGTGCCCATCACGACAGAGCTGCCTAAGTAGGTGCTCTCTCTGCCGCTGTAAGGCCAATGGTCTTAGAGACAAGCTGTTGAGGAAGCAAGGGACTCGGAGCAACGCTGCCACGTCAAAGCAAGTCAGCTGGGCGAGCTCCTGTTTGCACAGAGATGGGGATCCTGCTGCCTCTGGCGGGGGACTTGGTCGCGGGGGGGCTTTTCACTGCCTGCCCTTCCCACCTGTGACTTGTGCAACTAGGGAGCGTATTCCTCTTCAAAAGGAAGTTGTAAACGCTGCCTTCCTTGCCTGGTGGGGGATCAGACGGGATCACCAACCATCTCTGGCCTGGAGCAGCAAGGTCGGCACCTGCTGCGGGAAGGTCAGCGGAAAGGGGAGAGGGAGGGCTTCCTGGCTGGTGTTGGAGCGGCGCCCAGGGGAGCCCGCGAGCGAAGGGGGTTGGATGTGGAGGCACGAGGGAGGAAGGGGCGGGTGGTCCAGAGAGAGCACCTGTGTGAGAGCCGGAGGGACGGACGGTGCGTGGGCCGCTTACCTTCACTTGGTGTTCTATTTTATATGCAGTTTGTTGAAACTGGCGAATCTCTCGGATAATATGAGATATCTGTGAGAAGGAGGGGAGTTTAAGAAGACAGTTTGCTGTCTCCGCGCCCCCGCTTCGCAGAGCAGAAGGGGCACCAACAGCCAAGCCTGACGTCGGTCTCCTAATTCCCAGACATGCCAACCCCTGGCAAGCCCCACCGAGGCAGGTGCTTTCCTTTGAACCAGCAGCCTGTTCCCATGGGTGAGACTGGTCAAAACTCTACAGGTTAATGATGCAAGGGACAGAAATGGTATCGTTCCACGAGTGGGGCAGGCTGGCCAACATCCCGAAGCAGCCCCCACTTCTCAGCAAAGGTCAGGCCACCTGCCACGTTCTGAATGCCCGCTGTGGGCAGGCACCGCGCGAGGGGGCCCTGACCCGGCCCCAGGACAGTGCTCCCGGCTTGCGTTTGACCGAGAAGCCCTTCTAGGGAAGGAAATCTTCAGTGGAAGCCCATCACACAGCACCGACCCAACATCCCGTGAGAAGGGAGACAGGCTGGCTACAACTCTGGCCCCCGCCCCGTCCCAGGCCCCAGCAATCTCTGGGAAAATTTGAAACCTATTCGCTTGCGCTTGGGAGGTGCTGTGTTCATGATTTTGTTGGGCCCCACGAAGCAAGTGTCAGTATGGACACTAAAAGAAGGGGTGCAAATAAAGGCACAGGCCTTGGGTCAGACAGACGCGGCTTGAGACCCAGCTCTGCCCTTCACCCGCGGAGTGACTGTGGGCCGGTCGCTGACCCCTCGAGCCTCAGGTTGCTCCTCTGGGGGGTGGGGCATACCATGCCGAGAGCACCCACCCTTCCGCTGCAGGCATCATCCGAGGGGGCGCGGGGAGGCCGGCTGGCGGGGGAGCCCCGGCTCTCGCTGGAGGAGTCAGACCCAGGCTTCCGAGAGCACGTGCCCAACGGAGCGGGCCTGGTGGTCCTGGGCTTGGACGGCCCCCCCCCGCCGCCGCCCCGGGAGACTTACCATTCTCATCTTGGAGAAGTTGACCAGGCCGTCCTCCGTGTAATTGGGCGTCCCCTCTTCGATGAAGGCCAGGTCGGTGAGGTACATCCCCAGGTAAGGGACACAGGGGGGGTCACAACTTCGAAGCGAACGGCATTAAACAACAGTTTTTCATTTAGAACCATGAGCCTCTGCTCACATAGAGCACCCTGCATGCATCTTTTGCTTTGTTGGAGGCAAAGGGCTTTCTCTTCACTGAGAATCACGGGAACTCTTGGGCCCAGGATTGTCAAGTGGCTCTGAGGGCGACGGGGTGACACGGTACCAGCAGGCCCGGGGCCTCTCCACCAACGGTCTCCTCCCTCCCTGAGCCAGAAAGCCCTCCCCTACCTCTCCGCCCTGTCCGGGATGCAGCCCCCTCCCCCGTCTCTCCAGTGAAACTCTCCATCCAATCCTGCTCTAGAGTCACCTCCCGGTGGGCTCTGCAGCCCCCACCCGGTTCTGCCAGCTATGGTACCCAGCCCCCCGTGCCATTCTGCTCCTTGAGACTTCTCTGCCTCCACATCTGGCCCCATGGGGATGTCCTGCCCACCCAAGCACAGGGGTGCCTGAGCAGGAAACCCTGGCCCTCTGAGGTCACCCTCCTGCAGGTGGCCTCTGGGCAGGGGGTTGGGGGACAGTGTCCATGACAGGTGACTTTTTGGGGGGGCATTTTTTGGGAGATGGGGCCCAGGACTGGTGGACTACACCTCTTCGATTTGTGGCTCTGAAGCAGGGGCTTTTGTTACGGCTCTGTGGTGGCATCTTCCAGTGCCTCTGGGTGGGACCAGGAAAGGGCCTGATTGAGTGATGGGTCCGGTGGCCACCATGTTCTGGCAGAGCTCCGGGGAGTGCCCTCAGGGGACCCTCACAATGTCCTACAGCCTCCTCTTAGCTGTAGGACACAGATGCAGGGGGCTCTCTGCACGTACCGGCCGGTGCAGCTGACCCCCTTCCTAGACCCTCTGACTTTTGTCTCCTCCAGGCCACGTGGCGACCTGCCCCTCTAGAGGACGGGGAGGTGGGGAGGCTGGGGGGTGGGGGGCAAGAATAGAAACCCAGCCTCCGCCCCGCGCCTGCTGGCTGTGTAACCCCCGGCCAGGTCTCTGGGTCCCGAGGTGCCCCTCGTACAGGCGAGCAGGTGGCGAAGGCGGTGTTCGGTGCTCAGACAGTGGAGTGAGGCCAGGGGACACTCTATTAAATAACACTGATTCCTACGGTAAGAGACACCAGATTTTCATCTGGTGGTGGTATGGCTTTGACGCCTTCTGACGCTGGCCATTTCCTCCCCCACTTCTTCCTTTGTGAACAAGTAGCAACAGGTCTCGGAGTGTTGGCAAAGACCGGGATCCCAGCCGGAACTCGGTAACGTTGCTTTGTTCCCACTGTATCTATTTATGGCAGTAACCTTGTGTGATGGCAAGTAAGGTGGTTTTCCGTTTACTGCCCTGATAGCGTTTTCCTTCTTAATTACATTGATTTTTGGGAGAGCGTGAGTTACTTATAGGGAGACCTGCTAAGTGAATGTAAATACGGCTGGCGCATGGGTGGGAGGTGGGCCCTTGAAGTTGGGGAGAGACCGGGGACACGGCAATCGGTTTTGAACTCTAGGTCTGGACTCTTTCTTGAAAATAATTTAGCAGGTGTTGATCAGATTTTTTTTAAATAAAAAAAAAAAAAGCAGAAGTAGAATAAAAAAAAACATCTGAGTTCATTGCATGGACCAAGAGTATACGTTGCTTTGTGAAGTTTTAGTTCCTGTTATGCATATACGCATTTCTAAAAAAAAAAATATATATATATATATTTTTTTTTACTGTGGGTTGTGATTTAAAAAAAAGCCAGACCTGCACGGGTCGCTGGCAGGCGTCTCTGGGTCCCACCAGACAGTCTGTGACCATTACAGGCCCGGCTTTCCACATCCCGCCCATCTCCCTGCGAGTCTGAGGCATGGGCTCAGGGTGGGCGGAGATATAGTTCAAAGATGGAGAAGGAGCCCCAGGGCCGGCGGAAGGGGGCAGCTTGCTGGCCAGCGGTCTCTGACGGGGCTTCCCAGCTCACCCTGCTGGTTCTGCACCTGATGGGGTAACTTGGTAACCCGAGGCTTGGAAGCACCTCTTGTCTGGGATGGAGGGGGGAGTGGGGGGCCCATGTGGCTGCAGAGTGTTCCTGGGGGCCTTATGAGGTCTCCGACTGTCCAGACTAGTGGGAAGGATCAGGCGTTCCCCTGGCCACGGTGGTGGCTTTCCCTGACCTATTTATGGCGGCTCACAAGCCGGCTGTAGAAACACGGCCGACATGTAAGTTAGTCACTTGCAAGTGGCATCACCAGCCCCATTACCACTCTGTCCCTACTCCCTGCTTCCTAGTGAGGTGCTTCGAGGAGGGGCCCGGGGAAGAGCACACGAGGCACTCGATCACGTGCATGCACATGTACTCGCACGCACAGCAAATCCATACACGTAACCAACCTACCAAACCCAGAGGCGGGCCGGTCACCGTGTGGGGTCACCGGCGTGGAGGTGGCAGGTGGGGGCAGGTGTGTGGAGGAGAGGGCCAGTGGAGGGTCCCCAGAGAGTGCCCCTGTGCGGGGAACTGACCTGAAGGAAAGGCAAGCATGCTGAGGGCCCTTACGTCTGGCTAGCTCTGGGCTTTCCCTGGGGGCACCCCGGGCCCTCTTGGGTGGGGTCTTGCCCTGCCTGGATCAGGGCCCACCCACAAGAGCTGGTATGGGGTGGCTTCCTCTGCTGACAGACCCCTCACATGCCCGTACCTGGGGTTTTAGGGAAAAGAGAGGAAAGTGCCCCACTTTCCATTCTAAATGCTGTCTCTGGCTTTCTGGGCAGTGCCTAGATGTGGTCTTGCCTTTCTGTGGTTGTTTGGGGTCCCCAGCTGGGATGTTTCTTTCCACCAAGAAATTCTTGATGCTGTCAAGGGGGACGGCAGGGATCACAGGGTACCAGCAACTGAAAGTCAGAGGCGGCTGCCCATTGGGCTTCCACCGAGGGGTCACCTCTCCCTTCTTCCTCCTCTGCCCTGCCCCGGCAGGCGGACGGACCACTCTCCCACCCACTGCCTCTGCTGCCTCTGGTTAGGGCCCTCCTCTCCTTCCCAGGGAGGTTGTGAGGGGCACTCAGGCTGGGCTGTGTGGCCCGGAACCCCTGTGGCCAGGGCCCAAGCCTCTGGCATGCGGTGCAAGAAAATTAGGCACTCAGATTTGGGGGAAAAAATTGCCATGGGGCAGGAGTGGAGGCGGGGCCCAGAGTCCAGTCTTGTTTTTTGCCACCTGGACACTAACTGCTCTGTTGTCTCATTAACGGGAGACCGGGCTTTGCTGGGTGGGCACAGGCAGAAAATCAAGGCGGGAAGAGGTATTCGGGATGTTGGAGCCCTTGGACTCCTTGTAACCCCACAGATGGGTGGATTTTCACCCCTGTGAAGAGGAGGGTCTGGTGAGGGGCTGGGGGTCAGCCAGCCGACTGGCTCCCCCATGGCCACCCCTGTTTTTCACTCATTCAGCAGCCTGCAGCGAAAGCCCGGCCCCCGGGGTTCCTCTAATGGCAGGCTTCCTAGTCAAATTAAAGCCAATGTGCGGATAGGCAAATGTGCGCTGGGTTAAGATTAGACCGGGGGGGGGGGGGGCGGCAAAACCAGAATTGACCCCAAAAGGGCTGGTGACCAAATTTTACTGACAAATTTAGATCTCAGCCAAATCCTGTGGCACGGAGCTGTGGGAGGCTGTGATGGCTGGCAGGCTGCCAGGAGGGGACAGCCTCACGGGCTCCTCAAGGTGTGGGTTTGGGGAATGAGCAGGGCAGATGACGTCATGCTCAGGGTGTCCGGGCAGGGGACCGACAGGTGCACACAGCAAGTGCTGTAGGTGGACCTGGGGGGATTCAAGAAGGTGGGAGAGGGGAAGAGGGGTCAGATGTAGGGGTGAAGTCTTGGCTGGTAAAGGTAATAAGGCTATTCCTTGTCATAGTGTTGTGGGCTGGGACCCACATGGTAAGGCTCAGCACGGCTCCTTATCCGGGTCACCAGCTGTGCCCACAGACTGCCACTGTCCCCTGCCTGGTGAGATGGACCCCTGGGGCCCACACGGCACGGATCTACCGGGAAACCACAGCGCCTCTGGAGAAGGGGCACAGGACACATCTGCCCCGTGTCTCCCCAATCTCTCGTTCCCCACAGGGCTTGGCCTACGCGTCCATAAAGCAAGAACCTGGTTTGCACGAAGGCCTCAGCCCCCAGAATGCCTGGAGACCCCGCCGCCCCGCGTGGCAGGGAGTGGAGGTGCCTGGGACAGTCACTGACACAGGCCCAGGGGAAAGGGGAAGACAGCATGGGGACCGAGACAGAACAGGGGCCATGGAGGCGCGGAGGTGGCGGCGGATGTACGAGGAAGCCATGGGAAGGCAGATGGAGGGGCGCCCGGGGCGGGCGAACAGGTTGGTGAATGCACGATGCGGCAGCCCTCACAAGCACAGCCCAGGGGGCTCCGCGGAGCCCAGGCACCAGAGACACAGCACAGATGCAGGTGGGACATCTGTCTGGGGACAAGTACGTGGAGATGCGTACAGCAATGGCACATGGAGCTGGCAAAGGGCGGGCCGGGGCAGCGGGGGGCCAATGAAAGGGCTGACAGGGCTGGCAGCAGGGTGTGCAGGCCTGCCGGGGGTGTGGGGTCTGCCTCGTCCCCAGGCCCTGGGGGCAGTGACCGTGTGGTCTGTCCTGACGGCAGGACAGGTGCTCGTGGGCTCTGTAAGGAGCCAGGACCCCCGGGGGGCGCAGGGTCTCTCCACGCGGTGCGGGGAGGAAAGGGTGAGGCCAGCCCGGCTCGGCCCACGGAAGGATGGCAGAGCCCAGCGCAGCGGCCCGAAGCGCACAGCTGCGGGGGTGACGGTGAGCGCGTCGCGCATGAGTGGCCACGGCGGGGACCGCTGGGTTGGGCTCTACTCTGCTGGGACAGCCACATAGGACGCAGCCTCGGGCAAACCGAGCGCTGGCCTCAGAGGCTACTCTGTGCCAAGTTCTGGCTCTGTCACCACTGCCCCAGGGCCTCAGTGTCCTCGTCTGGAGAAGCGGGATGGGAGAATCTACGTGCAGTGGTGGTTCTCTGGGGGGTGATTTTGCCTCCCGGGGTAGTCGGCAACGAGCGGAGGCAGTTTCGGTGTTTAGAACTTGGGGAGGGGGTACTGGCATCTCGTGGGTGGGGACCGGGGCTGCTGCTAAATATCCTACAGGGCACAAGACAGCCCTCGATACAGGACCATTCTGGTCTAATGACAAGAGGGCCGAGGCTGGGAGGCTCTGCAAACAGTAAGGTGCAGCTGTTGGGGGGGCTCTGCAAACAGTAAGGTGAGGCTGTTGGGGGGGGCTCTGCAAACAGTAAGGTGCAGCTGTTGGGGGGCTCTGCAAACAGTAAGGTGCGGCTGGGGTCTCTGCAAACAGTAAGGTACAGCTGTGGGGGCGCTCCGCAAACAGTAAGCTGCAGCTGGGGGGCTCTGCAACAGTAAGGTACGGCTGGGGGCTCTGCAAACAGTAAGGTACAATTGTTGCCCAAACCGCATTTCTTTGATTCTAAGATGCCATTTTCTGCACAATGCGGTCTCGTTTGGAGGACTAATTCTCATTTAAAAAAGGAACGCAATCACATTAAATTAACACATTGACCTTAGGGCATATTCTGATGTCAGAAATATTAAAACGTGGGCAAGTGTGCACGTCAGAATGGAGGCCTCTGCATCACAGCTGTTGGGCTCATGGGGACGGTAGCATGCTCCCCCTACCCCCTCCTCTCTCTCGGGAAAGGCCACCGAGACTCTGGGATTTCTCCAGCAGACCACAGAGGACGAAGCTGACCCACTCTGGAGGTCTGGGGTGCCTAGGGGTCTTGTGGGTAGACGGTCGGACAGACAGACAGACAGACCTCCTGCTCCAGCTGATGTGGCCCGTGAATGCTTCTGCAATGCGGTTCTACAATTTAAACAGTAATGGTGACAAAATGACACACACTTACTTTTTCAGAGCTTCTCTCAGATTCTTAAATCTGCCCTCTGATGATACAAGCTTTTGGAGCTTATCAATCAAAGCTTTTGTCTAGAAAGAATTAGAAGCATTTACTAACACGTGGCATGCACTGAGGCCCAAGGCACCGGCCCACACTCCACGGGCTGCCCTTGGGGCTCCAGAACCCCCTCTGCTCTGCCCCATCATGGGGCAGGGCGTTTCTGGGGACCGCCTGAGTCTGGAACCTCACCCCCCAGCTCCTGACGAGTCAGACACGGACCCTTGTCCTGTGTGTCTCCAGCATACACGCACCCTTCAGAAACACAGAAGTGGGGCGTGGGGGACCTGGAAACCCTGGGCACCCTGAGAATGGGGGGTGGAGTGGGGCTTGGCAACTACAAGGAGCCCCCCTCCAGGGCAGAGCTCTCTCACGCACTGAACCCCAGGGTTGCGGATAAGGGTTACACCTTCACCTGTAGCTCCCAGGACCCCACGTGAATGTAAGAATCGAGAAGGGAAGATGGCAGACGAGCTGATCCTCTAGAAGAACAGGCTTTGCAAGGGAAGAGCCAACCCCCGGCCGAGGGTCCCGTCTGCCGCACGTCAGGCTGGAGACTGGCGTCGGCCTAAGTGAGGCCGCCCTGGGTCCGGCTTGGCGCTCCTTTCCTGGTGCGGCCGGGGAGCCCCTGTGCCTTGGTGGCCCCCACTCCCTCATTTACACAACGAGGAGGTGGACTAGAGAGCCTGCTTTCTAGCTCCCGTCCTCAAAGTCCAGACCGTGGCCGAGGGGACATGGGCCACAGCCCCTAAGCTTTGGGCCAGACATTTTCTGAGAAGTCTGCCCCCAGAAAACGACACGATGGGAGAAGAGACCCACGTGTGCTGCCCAAGGGGCGCGGCTGGAAGAGCACCCCCTTCCGGTTGCTCCCCGACTGATGAGAAGTGTCGTCACTGGTGTGGACCAACCCTGCTCAAAGCAGAAACGTGTTCTGGATCCCCTGAAAGGGACACACACAGCCACGGGCACGGGATTCTGCTTCCTCCCGAAATGGCTGCCCTCACGGATCTGTCCTGAAGCCTGGACGCCCAGGCCCACCTCCGCCCCGGCGTCTCAGCGTCCTCCCTGCACTATTCCAGAGTTTTCTGTCCAGGGCTGCCGCCCCATGCGCTCCTCCTTCCCACCCGCCTGGGAGGAAGGACCTGAGGCGTGAGGCCAGATACGGCGGCTGAGAGTCCGAGACCCGGGGGCCTGGCTGGGCGCTGCGACCAACCTCAGCGAGCACACAGGCAAGGCTGCATACCTCGCAGAGCGCTGGGTCTCCACGTTCACATCTGGAGAATGGGAGGGTAGGCCCAGGTATTCCCTAAAGGCAGTAAGAGCTCAGATATCCTAGGACCGTGGGCCCCACAGAAGCTAGATCAGGAGGCCCCAGGGGCCACGTAGCTCCAGACGAAGTATCACCCGCCAGTGGTCGTGGGAACCTAGGGAGGGTATGCTCACATGTGGAGGTTTGGGGTATACACTTGGGGCCAATCTGTGGCTGTGAGTTGGGCATGCTTTGATTCCTTCCACATCTGTGTTCCTCTGGGGCGTCGCTCTGTCCAGGAAGGAGCTCTGCAGCCTGGGAGACCACGGGATTTTCCCAGCCACTGCTTAAAAAACTGAGTTCCGAAGCCACTCAAGTATCTCCTGGTGGGGCCAGGAGCTCAAGGGGACACAGGCCCCCGGGACCCTGGGCGTCTCTGCTGCGGGCAGAAATAAGGGGCACTTGGAATATGTCACTGAACCCAGAGACCAAGCGAGGAGCCTGCCTTGGACGTGGTGTGGAGGACAAAGGTATTCAGAGAGCCCCCGGAAGCTCATCCCTTCCCGTCCACCAAACAGAACACTTCCGGATGGCCAAGGCTGCTCCCTCACAAAGGGGCCCCGAGGTATTGGGGGCCAAAGAGGGACTTCTGTCCCCCCAAGAATGCAACCATCCTCCGGAGGGGCGATACACAGATCTGTTAGTCATCTGCACCCGGAAGGCCGCCCCCCCCTTTCAAGAGGATGGGGCAACGGATGGGAGAAGAACAGGGTAATGGAGCCACAAGTCCCCACCTAAGCCTGACTGCTTGACTCTTGCACGGGCTGGCCTGGACTTGGACCCAATGCTTTCCTGCTTTGGGCCAGCACATTCAAGCCAACAATGAAAACCCGATGCTGGGGCTGTGTTTTAGGCCCTGCTAAGAAACGTAGCCCCTCTGGTGGGTCTCAAGTATCCACAGGACACCTGCAGAGGGACAGCAACCGTCCCTGGCTGGTGCTGGCCAGGGACTGTGCAGACACATAGGGCCCAGCCGAAGGGCTGGGAGAAGCCAGCAGGGCCCAGTGGGCCACAGAGTGTGCAGATCTGCGTGCGCTGTCCAAGGCACCTCTGACGTTTGGACCCAGGTCCTGAATGGCATCTGAGAATGCAGGCCACGCCATGCACCTTGACCTCTAGCTGCCCTCCATTTGCACTCCCCTAAGAGAACAGAAGACTTCGGGATGGTCAAGGTGGTTCCCCCTCCCAACTTCAGACCACGGGTGATGCTGGGGAACAAGGCCAGGAGGGTCACGGAGCCCCCAGTGTGGTGGGAAAGTGGGGCTGGTCTGAGGGCAGGGGGAGAAAGATGCGGACCCGGACTAGGCCCTCAGACTCCGCCACCTGCCCTGCCTGAGCCCTGACAGGCCAAACCAGCCTGGATGACTCGGGGGTCCCACAGCAGCCTGCTCAGCCCCTGGCTTCAGGAGTTCCCAGCGCCGCGTGCCACACACGGCCAGATGTGCCCACGCCTGAGTTCCCGAGCTCCAGCCTCTGTTCTTTCCGGGAGCCCCTGTCCTTGTCTTAGCCCCGGCGTGTCTGTGTGTGAAGAGGCAAGAGGTCCAGGCTTGCCAGGAGCAGGGCCAACCCTGTAACACGCTGTAGGCTCACTGTCACCGGGGCCAGGGTGGCCAGATACGGGGAGGGGCGGCACCCCAGGCCTTCCTGAGTCTGGCTGCTTAGCTAAGGAAGAGGAATTTATAGACCTGCTGCCTGTCTGGGGGCGCAGGATCGTGACCTGCCACTGGCATGAGGATGGTGGGGCAGGTAATAAAGAGGAGTGAGGAGGACTCAGTGTGCAAATCCAGAGCTGTCCAAATGAGACAGGCCCCTTGGAGACACTGGGCCCCACAGAGCCCACCCAGCTGCAGGACCACAGACTCCGCTGCCAAGTTATCAGTGCCTTTAGAGGCTTGCTCTGCCCTTTGGCGGTGCCTGTCCAGCCTCCTGCACACGTGTAGGCTGGGGCTGGGGAATCCACCATGTGCACGAAGGAGGTGGCCCCACTGTGTGCTCCTCTTAGGAGAGCTGCCTCCTCACGACCACAGTGTAGGGAACTTTATCCCCGAGGAAGAATCCACATTTCAGAATCATGTTCTGAATGAATAAAGATCAAGCTCACATTTAAGATCACTGATTATCCCTGGTTATCCCTGGTGGCCAAAAGGGCTGGTGAGACTAGTGTCCTGGGAAGGAACTTGCAAGACCATCCGGCCACCGTCTCGGCAGCCCTGCAGATCTGGATTGGCATCTGCACGAAGCCACCACTCTTGTTCCAACACAAGGAAAAGAGCATTGGACCAATCGTCACTGTCTTACATGCCCTGCTTTGCAGTGTTAATTATTCAAGTGGGAATTAAAGTTCCATGGGTCCCAGTGCCACATTGGTGGGCCCGATACCTGGTCCCAGTTGATAAAGGAGAAGAGGTTCACCTGGGAGTGTTGGCCCTCACCCTGTCCTTTGCCCACCTATGGATGTCCAGAGGCCAGCACTCTGGTGTCCCAGCCCAGCCAGCCCCAGGCAGGCAAAGGTGCCGGCTTCCCGCCCGCACCTGCTTAGAGACTTTGAGCCACGTCTTTTTCAGCCGGAATATTGCGCTCCGGTTCATGGACGAGGTGATCTCCAGCACAGCATTATAGTTGTGTAAGCAGCGGCATATGTCGGCCACGGCCACCCATTTCTCGATGGCGCTCACTCTTGCATTGATGTCCTCATTGCGGATGATTTCTGAAGCAATCAAGTTGCTGATCTTTAAGCCCATGCAATAAGACAAGAAAAAAATACGAGTCATAAGTATTGCAAAGCTGATAAATCACCATTATTTGCAGATGATAGGATTGCCTGTTTGAAAATCCCAAGACAGTGCTGGAACATTACCAGAACAACTATCAGAGCTCGTTAGGGTGGCTGGTTAAAGATTCAACATACAAAAATGAGAAGTTTTCCTATGTATTGGCCATACCAACTAGAAGACACCATGAAAAAGATCTTCATAATCCCAGTGGAAATGTGTAAATTACCTAGGAACCTAAATTGATGCGAACTTTGGAAGATCTTACATAAAAAAATGTACCTACATGAAAAAAAAGGTTTTAATTATGAAGAAAAAGATCAAATTCCCAAATGGGAATATAAATACACCATTTTTCAAAACTAAGACATGACTTTAATGCAATCCAATAGACATGAAATGGGAGCTTTCCTGAGAACCTGACAAAGCGATTCCACGGTTCATCTGGAAGAATAAGGGAGAGCCAAGCTCTGTGACAGTCTCCACTGTACAACTGGGGCTTGGGGAGGACCCATGCTTCGTGGCATCCCGGTCTCACATATAAAGTGGAAGGGGTCTCCCTGCCCCCACAGACAGGCACGTTCACAGGCACAAATCAAATGTGGGCAGGACTGGGGGCAGTTGAGGAGCTGGGCATGGGACCAAAGTATTGGTCCAAAGCATCCTTTGCAATTTCCTATGAATCTATAATTATTAAAAAAAAAGTAAAAGAATATTTGTTATAAAAAAGTTAAGGTAATAAAAGGACATTTACAGATGAATAAAAACTGTAGGGCTTTACTGTCAAGAACTCTTTTCAAAAATAGTTTCTGAAGGATGTATATCAAAAGGATGGATTGTAAAACTAAGAATGGAAACCCCTGAAGAGAATCAGGAAGGAATGATAACACAAAATAGTACATATACTATAACTCTTAATTACATCGAAGTGATAAAGGTTTCTTTTTTTCCACCACAAATATTGAACCCAAAACCAGTTTTATATATAAGTTATACAATTTTTTTAAAGGAGTAGCTCAATAGAATCTTCCAGAAAATAGAGAAAAAAGAGTATCTTATAACTTATTCTATGAGGCCAGTATAATCTCAATACCAAAACCAGATACAGACAATACAAGAAGGAAAATCACACACCCATTTGTTTAACATACCACGTCCATGTTAGTTTGTCCCCGGAACGTGAGGGTGGTTGACTATTAGAGAAAAATCTGCATTCACCACATTAGCAGACTAATGGGGGTAAACCATAGGCCCATCTCAATAGATGTGAAAAAAAGTGTTGATAAAATTCATCATTTATCTGTGGTAAATACCATTAGCAAACAAGGAAAAGAATTTCTTTAACCTCATAAACAAGCATTATCCCAAACGTGGAAATAGGGGAAGTACTCTGGAACCACCACTGAGATTCATTATCAACATTTGCACTCAACTCCGTCCTAAGGGGCTGCAGGCTGCAGGGGTGCACGCAGGCACGAGGGCGGGTGCACTCCGGGCACCTCGGTTCCCTGCCCTCATTCTAGCCCTGATGCTGGAGAGCCCGGTCGGACTCAATGAGGCAAAGAATCAGAGAAAGGTCTAGAAACAGTGGCAGGCTGTGATGGTCTCGGTCATGGAGGCACACATTCTGTGTCTGGTGGAAATGCCGGATTTTAAGAGAGATGGCCAGATGCCAGGTGGTGGTGAGGACAGCCCTCGGAGGTGGATTGCGTGGGTTCAAAGCAGGCTGTCCTGCTGTGTCATGTTGGGGATGGAATTTAACCCCCTTGGGCCTCAGTTTACCCGATCATAAAGTGAGAGAGACGGGGTTAAACGAGATGATGATGACGAAGCCCGCGGGGCACCGGCCGGCATGAGGCAAACAGGCCGCTGATGCTTAGGTCGTGTCCTGGCCCTTGGCTCGCCTGGGTCCCGGGCACACCCTGGGGCAGGGAGGGTGCGGGAAGGTGTTTCTGGGACCCGCCCACCTTCTCCATTTACTCTCTCCAGCTCCGACAGGGGCCCTCTGTTCTGCTGCTGGGTTCCCTACAGGGCTCCGCCCCGAGCTGCAGTAGGGGGGTCTCCTGCCTTTCCTTCCGACAGCCAAGGAGCCTCCCTGGTGCGGGGTGTTGCCCGGGCAGCCCGAACAGACCGTCAGGACAAGCAGAGTCCTGTGCTCCAGCATCCAGCCACCAAGGGCTGTCACTTGGGCGATGACTCGGCTCAGAGTGCCCTCGGGGCTTGTAGGGGGCGGGAGCCGCCGGCGCCCTGTGCTGGAGGGGGCTGGAGCCGGAGCGGTCCTGGGGATGTCGCCGGGACACGTCTTCCTCCAGCCAGACACTCGTCAGGAGACCCCAGGCATCCGCCCTGGGAGCCTTGGTCTCCTTGTGTCTACAAGGTGCACTAAGAGTCGGTGTGAGATTATTGACGCCTACAAATCACAGGAGTCCGGTGCCTCACGTGGGGCCCGCTCTTGCACCCAGCACCTCGAGGGTCCTGCCAAAGAAAAACCCAGAAGAGAAAGGCACTGTCCCCTGACCCCGGGCCCCCGTACTCACGTCATTGAAATGCTTAGTGGTCTTCATGATGTAAGGGGTCCGTTCGTTCTTCTCCAGTTTCATCCAGCCCTGTCCGAAGAACTCCCTGTGGGAAGTAAGGAAACCCAGGGCCAGTGAGCTCTGCCTTGCTCAGTTCTTTGCTGTGATTTCTCTGCTCTTTGAAAGGCTTTTACTTCTCGGGGAGGAACTTCCTGCAGAGCCCCAGAGAGGAAGGGATCCTGGGCTGGCGTCTAGCTGTGCCTGGCCCTGCTCAGGGCCTCATCTGTGAAATGGGAACATGAGCACACTTTCCCCACGGGGCTGCTGCCAGGCCAAGACGAGAGACTCTGCGGGAGGCACATCATCTACCGTGGAGTGCAGAGTGCCGGCTGGTCCTGTTCGGGAGCTCGGGCCTGACGGGGAGAACTCACATCCCAGGCTGGTGTGCAGAGAGGAAGATCTGCAGTCTACGGGCGGAAGGGGAAGGAGCCCGCAAGCCAAGCCGGCCGAGTGCTCTGCTGAGGAGGACCACGGGGGAAGGCCACAGACGGCCCGAGCCTCCCAGGGGAAGCTCTGCGTTTGGTGAGGGACCCCGGCCGCGTGCTGTGGGCAGGAAGGGAGTGAACTGGGTTTGAAAAGATTCTCTGTTTCTCCTCCCAGAGCAACCGGGCTTCACCAGGAGATGCGGCAGGTGTCCGAGATGCTGCCACCCTCCACCCGGTGATGGCCGGCTGGAGTTTCCGGAAAGCAGAGACCAAAGGCCCTACAGCGGTTCAGAGCTCAGATCCGAAGATCCCAATTTTGGGAAACTATTCTCAGACAGTTGTCAGAAACTCAGAAACACTTGGTTACGAGGAGGTTGACTGCAGCTTTAGATACAAACGTGAAAACTGCAAAGCACCCCATGGGTCCGAGCACCGTCGGGGAATACCGTGAACTTATTAGAGAGGCTGTTAACGGATGTTGGTGGTACGCTGGGAGCTCCAGGAAGGTGGTGCGAATTCATTTAAACAGTGTAACTACCAAGAGCACCCAGGGGAGACTGACTACAGCCCGGCATTGGTGATGCCAGACCTCCGGGCTTCTTCAAGATCCAGAGCTGCCCACCTCCCCCAACTCCTGGGGCACGCACGTGTGCACACTCACACACACGCGTGCACACTCACACGCTGCGTGCAGAACCTGGGGCCAGGGAAGAGGATCCTCCTGCACCCCTGCGGACACCCACGTCTCTGTCCCCCTGCAGAGAGTGCACGTGGCTCGGGAAGTCTAGCGCGCAGGTCCCAGGGATGCAGCGAGGCCGGCTGCGGGGAGGAGGACCCGGAGGACCCGGAGGGCCCGGCACCCGCGCCCACTCACTCATAAGGGATCTTCTTGAAGACGAGGTGGTCTAGCAGGGTCAGCTGCTCCGCGATCTCCAGGGCCGAGTGGTTTTCAAAGGGCTCTGCCTTCACGCCTTCGGCCTGAGGGGAGCAAGTCCTGAGTTAGCCCTCTTGGATTTCTGGCTGCTTCTCGGACAGACGTGGTCTTGGCCTAGGTTCTGGTGGGTGGGGGAGGGAGGGGTCGGCGGGAGCCTGTGCTCTGTCAGAGCTCACGCGGCAACGAGGCGGCCTTGTCCCAGCCGTGACCGAGACCACAGAGACGTCCAGAGGACTGCGCGTGGCCCACGTCACTCAGCAGGAAATGGGCTGACTGGGCCTGGAGCCCCGGCTGTGACTCCCAGTGACCCGTCCCTCCCCTCAGGTTCTGTCTGGACACGTAGCCGGCTCCATAGCGTCTCCTTTGAAGACTCAGCAGGTGTGGACTCACAGGTGTGATGACCGTGGGCACCACCTTTACAGCTGTCCACCGCCTGCCCTCCGCCACCCCCAGCCACAGGAAGTCCCTGGGAAACACTTGTCGGGGGACCAAGGCCCCAGTGGCAGGGGTTTGATCAAAGGTGGACATGGAGAGGCCAGTGTCCTTGCCACAGAGGCCCCATGGATGGTCTGCTGGATCCGGGAGGGGGTGGAGGAAGCTGGAGAAGAGAGGGGAAGGAGCACCAGGGCTGGCCGTGGGAGGGGCCTGTGTCCATGAGGGAGGAGGTCGGGAACGAGAACCACCCCGACCTCCAACTAGGCCACATGGGACAGAAAGGCCAGCTACCCTGCCCCGAGGCCCCAGGGCCTGGGCTGAGCCCCCCAGAGCTGCACTGCTTACAAGGGAATGGGGTCCACGCCATAGCAAGGGGGCAAGCCCTCCCCCTAACTGTCTGCCTGCCTCCCTCACCCACTCCCTCAGCAAACAGTCACTGAGGGTCCTTGCTAGACACTGGACACAGAAGGACCAGAAATCACTGTCCTGGGCTTCAGGGAGCTCCAGCCACGGGATGGGGCAGGGACGGAATGCAGGAAAGTAGAGGAAGGGTATCCACGCAGTCGGCCATGGGCCAGAAGCTTAGATGCAGCCGCATGGGGACACGAAGCCATCAGAATGACAAGTGGGGATAGGAGCAGCAAGTTTTGGGGTAGGGACCCTCCTGGGGGCCCAGGATGGCTGAACTGTCAGGCCTGAGGGCCTGTGGCTGGCCTAGGCCGGGGAGAGGCCCGTGGGGGCCGGGCAAGGACAGGCAGGCTGCTCACCCTGTTCCCTCTTGGTCACCCAGGAAACAAGATGACCCTGGAGGGGAGGCCAGAAGCACAGCTTCCCCCACCTGCCATGGGGCCAGGCAAAGTCTCCCTGCAAGCAGCCCTTAGGCTCTCTGGTGAGGCCGCTGGAGCCTCCTCCACACTGGAAGTGCCCCCACGGGCTCTCTGGGCTCTGGGAACAAGTCAGGGCTGGGGGGCAGCTCAGCGGTGCTTTGTTCTGCAAGAGCTCAGGATGTTTGCCAGGGAGCAAGGGGCTCTCGTGCGCTCGAGGGCTAAACATTCCAGCTGGCCCATTGGGCAACTGCTCTCCTGTGGGCAGGCGCCAGGAAGCAGCCCCGTCTCCCAGGGCACAGCTGGAGTCCTGCCCCAAGGGTCAGTGTGGTGTCTGCATGCAGGAACAGCTTTCCTGCCTCGGGGGCCCCCCTGGCTGAGTGCTGCGCCCAGGGGGCAGGACGTGGGCCGCTACAGGGAGGTGCTCCCCTAGGTGCTCCCCGTGAGCGGCCTTGCCCATGCCCAGGCCCCAGAAAGCTGGTTTCAGGAGCCAGGAGGGGAGGGGAGCGGTGGGTCCAGGCCCCAGAGTCCTCAGTGTGAGCCCCGAGTAGGGCAACGACCGGAGCTCAAGCCGCCAGTTTGGGAAGTGAGCCAGGGTGGGGCTGCGGGGGGGGCGGTCAGAACCAGTCTGCCTTGAACTTCCCTGGCCACCATGGTGGCAGGGGCCCAGGCTCTGGGGTGGCTTGCGGTGGCATGCTGGGGGCACACCCCTGACCCGGAGGAAGAAGTGGGCCGGGCCAGGCCCTGGGACACACATCACTCCCTTCCACTGCGTGAACCGCCACCATTAGCTCGCATTCCTCGTGGCAAGCACAGCGCTCCCCGGGGCGCCCACATTTCTGGGCAGGTGGCCAGTGGCACCCCGACTCCTCGGGATGAGGCAGCATGGGATGTGGGGTGAGCTCTTGCTCCGGAGTCGGAACCGAGCTGAGTGCCAACACCAGTTCTGACACCGCGACCCTGGGTGGGGCGGCTCACCTCCCCAGACCCCCGCTGCCTCATCTTGAACGCGGGGGTGATGGTGTAGACTTGCCGCTGTTGATGAAAGCCTGGCACGGGGTCAGCACAGAGGAGCAGCCCACCAACCCCAGCCGGGGCCCCGGCCCCCCTCCTGCAGGGACCAGAGAGCAGAGAACACGCAGTGGGGGCTGGGGTGGGGCCGGTGAGCAGAGGGTGAGGAGAAGAGGGGCAGAGGCGTGACGGTTTGAATTTCCTCCCTCCAAAATGAGGCGCTGAGGTCCCACTCCCTGGTATCTGGGAACGTCACCTGATTTGGAAATAGGGTCTTTGCAGATGTGCCCGGGTTAAGAGGAGGTCACTGGGATGGGTCCCGATCCCACAGGACTGGAGTCTTTATAAGAGGGGGGCTTAGACACAGGGAGAGACATGCTCAGGGAAGGTGATGCAGAGACACGCAGGAGTGAGGACCGCCTGGAACAAGGAGGCGGACATCAGAGGTTCAGGGCCACACGCCAAAGGCCGCCCGGGGCTCCGGGAAGCTGGGAGAGGCAGGAAGGCCCCTCCCCGGAGCGTCCTCCAGCGACGCCTGACTTCCAACCCCTGGCCTCCAGGACCCGGACAGGACGCAGCTATGAGTCAATCTGCAGTGCTCGGCTCGGCCGCCCCAGGGCGACGCGTGCTGGAGGGGATGGCCCGGTGAGCGGGAGCCCGGCTCACCATCTGTGTGATCTCCTCCAGCGTGATCTGGTTGTCGCCCGGGTCCTCCTGGGTCAGCGTCCTAGGGGACGAGACGGCGCGATGGGCCCCGTGCAGCCCGTACCCCCACCTCGCCTCCCCAGGCAGGTACCCGCGGCTGCCTCGTCTCTGCTCTGTGCTTCCCGAGCCGGAGCCCACTGCCCATTTGTCAGGGACGTCTCCCTGATGGCCTGACCGTCAGGACTCAGCTGCCTGACCCCTGGCCTCACCGTCTGCACAGGAGGAAGACGGACGAGTTCGGGGATGAACACCGTAACCCTTTTCCGTCCCGCAGATGCCCCGAGCACCGGCAGACAGGAGCGAGCCTGCCCCGCCCGCACAGCTCTGGGCAGCAGTGCGAACGCTCCTCCTGGGGGCGTCGTGGGTGGCCATGTGGCTCATGTGACTGAGGAGCTGAACCCTCAATCCGTGAAGATTTAACAGCCCCGGGAGGGAGCGGCAGCCACGACGGGCGCCACGGACCAGGCAGGAGTTGGGGGCTGTGCAGGGAGAACGTGGTTCCTGCCTCCAGGGTGTCAAGGTCTGAGGGGAGGAAGGACACATGGGCCGCCTGCCCGGGGGCCCGTCGGCAGAAGCGGGGCGCACGGCCCCCCGGCGGCTCAGGGCTCCTGCCCCCGCACCCCTGCCTGAGGCCAGCCTGCCTGGAAGGGCCTCCCCGGCTCCCTGCCCGGGGCCGGCTGCGTGGGGCAGAGCCTGGGCCCCGGGCAGCGGGCCACGCTCAGCAGGGCTGGGGCCGCCCATACCTGATGATGTTGGCCGCAGCCTTTCTCTCCTGGGTCAGCAGCTCGGGGTCGTGCATGACCTCCTCCAGGAAGCTGATCACCTTGCATCTGAGCTCGTCGTTGGTCTCAAAGTCCTGTTGGGGGAGACACGCTGGCCCTGGCCCCTGTCCAGCCACACGCGGAGGGCTGCCTGCCTTGTCATTGTTTGCCCTGGCCGTGTGGGCGGGCCACCAGGGGAACCTAGAGACCCTTAGGTGTAAAACTCTGGGCAAGACCGAGGGTCATCCCCTGGCCGGCTGCACTCCAAGGCCAGGACCCTGGGGGTGCGAACCTCCTTGGCCCCCTGCTGCAGACGGAGGTGGAGGGACATAGCCCCGGGGCCCGGGAATGTCCTTGGTGCCCTCCCAGGCCAGACACTGGAGCAGCCCCTTCGGAGGGTGCTGGACGGCTCACCTGGGCTCCCTCCCTCCCACTGTCCCCGAGGCCGTCCTGCTCACGGTCCTGCTCGCGGTCTCAGAGGGCAGCGGCTCCTGGGGGCCGGCGCGGGGGGGGCCTCCCACCCACCTGAGAGTGTTTGGAGACCCAGTGGCGGAGCACGTTCAGGACGCGGTTGGTGGCTGCTCGGCGGATCACGAACTCCTTGTCCCCGTTCCTCTGGTCGGGGGGAAACCCTGGTGGCACAGGGGACAGAGGGTACAGGAGGGCCAGAAATGGGGCTCAGTGCTCGTCTGGATGTAAAGCCCAGGCCTGGGGGAGCTGGCCACTGCCGTGGCTGAGCTTCTGCCGTGGCCGGGCCACTGCCATGGTTGGCGGGAGGGCAGCTTCCGGCCGGGGGTCGGTGCTGGCCAAGGCCCGGAGCAGCAAGCCCTGAACACCGGGAGGGGGACAGCTCCCCGGGGCTGGGGTGGCCGGCCTGCAGCTGGGCTGAGCCCACGGAGGGAGGGGACCCCCTCCCGCGTACCTGTGCTGGCCAGGGACATCCTCCGGTACTTCTCCTTGTTTGGGGTGCTCTCGTTGGCTCCCGCCGTGGCTATGGCAAAGGCAGAGGCCGCTGACAGGGCACTGCGCGTGTTGTCCAGTTCCCGACACGAGGTCATGACAACCCCGTTGTTGTAGGAAAAGAGGGGGAACTCTGTGGAGGAGGCAAAACCGACCCTCAGCCTTCCCTGGTGCAGCCCTCGCTGTCGGGAAACCGGGGGTCCCCACGCTGCAGCAGCCTCAAGACGGGCAGCCTGTCTTCACTGTGTCCCGGGGCTTAGCAGGCAGAGGTGGGGGCCGTTGCCCTGCTCAGGTCCCCAGAGGGGCGGGCCACCCCCAGGGCGGTCTTGGGGTAGGGAAAGCCCCCACCTCCCTCTGCCTTCTCTGGTCTGCAGAAGTCCCCAGCCAGCGCCCCGTACACCCCTGCTGTTCCTTTACCCCCGGGGCTCAGCCGGGCCCCGGGCTGCTTGGGGACAGCGTCATGAGCCTCCTCATGCTCTCAGCCTATATGGGATGAGCATGTAGCTCGTCCAGCGCCTGACACCAGGAATTCATACTGACGGGCTCGTGGGCGCGGTTGGGTGGGGAGCGAGGCCTGGCTCGCCGCGTGGCCGTGTCTCTGCGCAATTGGGACGTCAATACCTGCTCCAAGCAATGAATGTCACGGTGGGAGGAGAGGGCACGGCCCCAAGTACGCAGCGTCGCGCTCCGTGGAGCATCCATGCCGAATAATGCTTAACTTTTAGCGGTAACGGCCATAGACCCTGACTCTGGAAACCTGTCATGCCATCTTTAAGTCTCTGCAGAGCAATCCACCCTCAGGACGAAGTCACAGTACGTATGCTGCAGGGAGCTCAGTTCTGATGCTTTGGCGCTGCGGTGGCTCTGAGAAGCCGTGGCCGTGGGTGCACGGCTGGGCGGCCCTGGGACTCACGGGGTCTCCCTGGGCGGCCGGCACGGCCGGGGAGTCCATGGGCTGGAGGCGGGAGGGGCCGCCCTGGGAGGGGAGGGGAGCGCCAGGTGGGGACCCGAGACCCTTCGGGGTCAGGAGTCAGGCGTGGGTGGGGGCTGTCGGCACCTGTCGGGGTCTCCTCCCTCGGTCCGTGACTGGGACCCACCTGGCCACTCCACAAGGCCGCCTGACCGTGAAAGGACCCGGGTCCCGTGAACGAGCCCCCCGCTGGCCCCTCCTGCGTCGGCCGCACCGTCCGGTAACGCGTCGGGGTGACTGTGCTGGGCAGGGGTGGCCCGAGCCCCGCCATCACCCTGCCGGCTGTGACGCATAGCGGCGGCCCTGCACGCGGCGCCCTGGCCCCTGGCCTGCACTCAGCGAGACCACCCCCCACCCCATCTCATGGCTGGGGCCTCCCGTGTCCTCCTGGAATCCACCTGTAACGTCCGAGGGCTCAGCTGTACCTGAGGGACTTTTGCTTTTGATGGACTTTGGCGTCGTTGGCGACTTGGTGGGTGAGGCCTCCGTGTCACCGTCGTCACTCTGGTTTTGGTCGCTGTCCGACTCTTCCCTCACGCAGACGTCTGAGCCTGCGGCAGAGAAGAAATAATGGCACGTGCCTTCAGTAGTCAGTCCTTTAGAAATTCAGGCCCAGAAGTGACCGAAGCAGAACAAAGTGGGTTTGGGATTTGCCGGCTGAAGGAAGCGTGACAGCTTTATTTGCCGTGGGAGTGGTCAGAGCCTTTCCTGTGCCAACAGGGTCGTGAGGCTCCAAGATGGCTCTTTTCCAACCCGGGCTTCTCAGACCCTCACGGGCACCGCTGGGGAACTCGTTAGGATGTGGGTGCTGACTCGGGGCATCTGGAGCGGGGCTGCACATCGCTAACGTGTCCCCAGGGGATGCCCGTGTGGCTGGTCACAGACCACACTCTGAGCGGCAAGGTGCCATACCCTGTGACCCTTTGCGTGTGTACGTCTCTGCGTGCACGCGTGTGTGTGTGTGTGAGCACACGTGTGTCTGCATGTGTCTGAGTGTGCGCATGTGCGTGAAGCATCTCAGTTAGGCTGACCATCTGTGCCACGTTGCCTGGAAAGTCCTGCTCTGTGCCTCTGGTCCCGCACTTCTGGTCACTATCAAAAGTGTCCTGGTTTTGGTAATAACTTACAGTCTCCCCAACCTTGGGAGACTCATGGTTTACACGCTTCGGAGAAAAGTGATGAATTGTGTTCAAAGTGAGATCTTGGTCAAAAACTCTTAACCTATCTGGTCCTCAGTTTCCCCAACTGGAAAGAGAGTGAAATTGCACGTGACCGTTTTGAGCCCGAGACAGGCTTTCTCTTTAGGAATGAACGTCTGCACACACACGATTTGGTGCACAATCAGACGGGCTCAGGGGCCCCTCGATCACTGGTCAAGAAACCTGTTAGGAGATCACTTTTCAGACTGAGTCATGTTAAATTTCGGAATTTAACAGGCCTGGATTCGCTGTGGGTTTAGAGCAGATGGTCTGCCCTGTCCTCTGCCCCTGCCGGCTGGCATTTGGGGCTCAGAGAGGCAGGCTGTTCTCTTGGTGACAGGCTCTCAGGCACTGGGCTTCCCTCCCTGCCCCTTGACGCACAGAGGAGACGGCCTATCTTCAACGTCGATCTCCAAGGCCTCTTCCTCAAGGCCTGGGGTTCCAACCAGCCCAGGTGTGTGTGTGTGTGTGTGCGTGCACACGCATGCTAACCGAGACTGTGCCCGGGGCACCCAGGACGTGTCCTGAGCTGAACTAAGACAGAGAACCAGCCCAACCATCCAAGGAGATGCCCTTCCAGAATGGTCAGGAGGGCTCTGAGAGTAGGGGGTTGGCGGCCTGTCCCTCCTGGTCTCTGTGCTGCCCTCACCCCCACTGTTTCAGCCTCACCGAGTTGTAGGCGGTTCCTGAACACACAACGCGCTTCCTTGCTTTGGTCTTGCCGGTCCCATCATGCTCCCTTCCTTCCGGTGAAAACCTGGGCCCTCCGGAAAGCCTTCTCTGACTCTGCAGACCCCGTCCCCGCCCACCCCAGGGCCCCTCGAATATCCCTCGAACAAAGCACACCAGATGTCCCCATGTGCATGTGTGGTCCTGTTCCTCAGCTGCACCGTGAAGCCCGGGGTGCGGGAGCTGGGTCTGCTGACCTCTTCTCTCCCGGGTCCAGGACCCAACCCGCAGATGGGTGGACGGACTGCGGACGCAGGACAAACCGCACCGTCAGGCAGCCTGACCACGGAACCGCTCATCGGACGCCCTGGGGGTCTCTGCCCGCCTCCTTGCAGGCAGGGCTCACACGCATGTGGCCACCACCCTCTGGCCGGGACCCCCAAGCCCCTGCTGTCCTCGGGGAGCCTGGCGGGGCCAGGGGCCGAAGGGGTGGCTCGGCCCGCACGTCCACTCACTCTGCTTGCTGAGAGCCGCGGGCTCTTCGGGCTTCTCAGCGGCCGTGTCGCTCTCGTCCGGGATCTTGTTGGCAAAGCTGCTGGACACGTAGAGCTTGCTGGTGTCCAAGGTGGCCTTGCTGAAGGGCGACACGGCCGAGCACAGGCTGGTGTAGCCGTTGGAGCTGCAGCTGAGGGCGGCCAGGTCCAGAGCCTTGCCACCCGTGATGATGGGGATGTTCAGGGACAGCTTCCGCCGGCGGCTGGGGGACGACGTCTTGGTGATGGACAGGGGCGGCGGTGAGGAGAACTTGCGCGTGGCGCGCGGGGACTTGGGAGGGTCACCATATAGAAGCTTGTTGTTCTGACCACTGGCGAACAAGAGCTCCAGCGACCTGTGGGGTGGAGGGCGGACGGCGACCAAGGGTGAGCATGGGCATGGCTGCCTTCCCAGGCCTGGGGTCCCCCTGTCTCCGGCGGGGGAGGTCCAGGGGCAGCAGGACACAGGGGGCCCAGGCCACCGCGGGATCTACGCCCACCCGGCACCGCTCGCCTGAGCACACTCCCTGCAGAGCTGTCTGGGAGATGCTGAAATTGCAGAACAGACCCCAGGGTGTAGTGATCTAGAGGGAACCGAAGGTGCGGACAGACAGGCACTCCCAGGCGGGGGACAGCCTCCTCATTTCAGGAGCAATAAACCAGTGGTTCAACTCCCAGTGCCGGTTCAGAAGTCCAGACTGACCCGACACACATTCCTGAGTCGTGTTTACAGGACTTAGACCCCTCTGAGCACCCACACCCAGGATCAACGGGAGCAGGGGCCTTGAGGACACCAGCCCCCGTCGGCCTTGTGACCTCACTCAGCTCGGACCTGGGCTCTGCCAGCTCAGGACAGCTTTGCCCCGATTTCCGTGAATGCTGCATCGCGCGAGCCCCTCCATCAACATGCATCTGCCCTCTGCCTACAACTTCCCAAGATTGTTTTTGGAGGGATGCAGCTTTGGGAAACATCCCTGGTGTTTTTGCTACTTGTTGCAAGGAAAACCCTTCCTTATTTCCACTCTGGCTGGTGGTGTCCTTTGGCTCGATGCCCCAAGAAGCAAAGCCAGTTTAAGTGATACCTCAGGACACTGGCACCTGGGCCGGCCCTCGGAGCAGGTGCATTTGAGGGGACACAGGACCAGGGGGCGGTGTCATGACATGGCTTGTGGCCGGAGGTCTGCATGTGCAAGTGTCCCATCCTGGGGTCTGGGCAGGGACGCGGGCTTCCACGTCAGCAGCGGGCTCTCTGTCCACAAGGGCCTGATGTCCCCCACGCGCTCTGACCTCGCCCTCACACAGGTCCTGAGGGTGTTTACGGATGGAGGCCGAGGCTCAGAGACGGGAGCGGGGGCGAGCCTGGGGCAGGGAGCGGGACGTGGGGTCTCCCAGCAATCCCGGTCAGTCCCCTACCTCCGAACGCCAGGACCCACCGCTCAGGGCCAGGCTAGAAGCGGGTGACATGCATGTAATAATACATAAAATCGCTCACAAGTCTGCAACATGTCTGCTCTGTGTTCTGTATGGGACAGACCTCTGGGCCCCCAGGAATGGTCTCCTTAGTTTGCACGTGGGAGCCCAGCCTGGATGGGGGTGGTTTGTCCAGTTTCTCAGGTTGGGGAGGTTCCAGAAGTTCAGAGCAGAGACAAGACCTGCCCTGCCCCAATGAGGCCAGAGCAGGTGGACTGTGAGTGCTGGTGTGGGCAGGCCGAGGGACTGGGGCACGGGGGCAGTCACGTCCTGGGCTCTCATTTGGGACCAGCGTGGCCTCCCAGCGGCCCTGGGAAGCTGGTGGGACACAGTAGCTCTTTTCTAAGTAGCCCTAGAACTGAGGCTCTGGGCCCAAGTCTCACCCAGGGGTTGGGGGACATTCAGCGGGGCTCTGAGGCTCGGGATGGGCTGGCCTACCCACTGCTGGGGTCTGGGCAGAAAAGGAAGTCATCTGCCGGCCCCTCCCATTTCCTGACGAGTCCCCCCAGAGCAGTGAGGTCCCTCGGGGGCTTGGATCCGGTCCCTGAACGTGGCCGACCACAGGGCAGCCCTCGTGACTCGGCCTCGCTGTCCCCGTGCCGAACGGGGATTGCTAACTGCCTTTGCGCGCATCTCCGCGGGGCTGCGGGCCCACGTGGGGTCGCTCCCCGCCCGGCCTCGCTGCGTTCGGCTCTCGCCTGGGGAAGTCCTTGGGGAGACGGGGTAAAGGCTTCCGCTGGGTGCCCAGCCGGTGCACTGACGCTGCGGTTCTGGGCCGGCCCCCAGCCTGTGACGCGGGCTGCACCTGCCCTTCGAGTTCTCACCTGGCAGGGACCCGGGGCTCGCGGTGACCCACCGGGCCCCTCGAGGCTTGGCCAGAGCTGGGGGTGGGCAGGTGAGCAGCGGTTGGAGCAGGACAGCAAGAGGACAGGAGGAAAAGGAGAGTGAGGGTCGCCGCCACCTGCCGCCGCAGCGACTCACAGACGGCGCCTCGAGGGCACGCAGCCGCCCAGGGCCCTGGCCCCCATCAGCCCTGGACCCCGGGGGGGGGGGGCCCGGGGCCGAGTTTCCTGGCCTCTCCGGGCCCCGGCTGGCGTGACGGCAGGGCTGCGCCGTGGCACTGGGGGTGGAAGGGCGGCCTTGACCTAAGGCCGGGTGGCCAGCTTTCCCCGTGCTGCGCCAGCCCGCGTGCGCCCGACGGGGTTCGCCCTCTCTCCACGGCAGGGTGGGGTCCCGGCAGGGAAAGGCCGAGGGTCTCGGCCTCTCTCTGTGTCCTCCCGCCCACCCCCTGCCCCTTCTGAGATGGGAAAGGTGGGGAAGCCCTGTGCTTGGGGTTAGAGCTGCGTGCACCCTCGAGACGCCGCCCCACCCCAAGAGCCCACGGGCAGAGGGGCAGACAGCGGGGCTGGGGGCCGCTCAGCCCTCCCCGCCCCTGTGCAGAGGGCTGGCTGGTTCCTGGGGAGCCCGCATCATCCCCCCGCCCCGCCCCCGACTCGGGTCGCAGCCTCGGCAACCACCTGGACCCCGAGCCCGGCTTCCCTCCCAGCCTGGAAGGCCCCGGGGGCCCGTCGGGAAGAGGAGGTGCCTGCCCACCTGGCGGGGATGGCGCTGATGGGCTTCCTGTAGATGGTGATGAGCTTGTCCAGGACCACGACGGCGGTGGTGAAGACGCGGTAGGAGTGCAGAAATGTGTTGAGGAAGTCGATGCTCAGGAAGCGCAGGTCCGTCAGCCTCTCGAGCAGCCGCCCCACGCTGGCGTAGCGGATCTGCAGCACTTTGCAGGAGTTCATGGTCTTGCTAAAGCGAATGTCCACGTCATCGCAGTACAAGGAGGCGTCGGACCTGCGGAGGGAGGGAGGGCCACGGGGAGACGGGGGTCTGCACCGATGAGCCCGCGGCCGTCTCCCCGACACGCCACAGACGGGCGGACAGACGGACGGACGGGCGGGCGGCAGCCGAAGGACTGGCTGGCCTACTCTGGGGACAAGGGAAGTGTGGGAGGGCGACACTGAGCAAGAAGGGGACACTGGGACGCTGGTTCTAGCTCCCAGGAACCGCCCACGTATCCGGCGTAAAATGCCTAGGAACTCTGGACAAAACGTAACCAACTTAAAAATAACGTGTTCCTGAGGTCACAAGATAAGAGGATCTGCCTGCAAACGCTCACGGCGCCGCTGTTCATAACCGCCCCAAAGTGGGGGCCACCCCGGGGTCCACCCGCTGCTGAGAGAACAGCCTGGCGGGCTGGGTCCGCGCAGGGAGGCTTGCTCGGCTGGGAGAGGGCACCGCGTGCGGGGCAGGGCCCCAGGGCCGCGGGTCTCGAGGACACACCAAGTGAGGGAATCCAGGAGCAAAGTCCGCACGTCGTTCGACTTTGTCTATATGAAACCTCCCGAGCGGCCAAGTCCACCCACACAGAGAGTCGGGGGCCGGCCGCCAGGGGGTGAGGCACTGACCGCTAGCATGCATTCTTGGGGGCTTCTGGGGGATGACGGAAACATTCTGCAATCAGGCGGGCGGTGATGTTTGCCCAACACACTGATGTGCTAAAATCCACTGAACCGCACACTTTAAAATGCTCAGTTTTATGTCACACGACTTCCATCTCAGGAAAAACTAAGCAGGGGCAAAAAAGCTATAAGGGAAATTCCTAGGGGCCAAAATTGAAGAGGAACTTGGAAACCAGCTGATGCTTTATGTGTCTTTGGGGCATCAGCTGCTTATGGATACAGAGCGCCTCGGGTTTCCACAAGGAAAGGCAAGGCCTGGGTTCCGTGGCGGGAAGGGTGTTGGAGTGAGACCCCCACAGAGGGCTGAGGACCTGGGCGGCGGCCTCGAAAAATCTATCCACTTGGGGGGGGGGGAGATATGAGTGTCCTGGTTTAGCCCAGACTCCGGGGGGAAGGGAGGACACAGGGCACAGAGGCTCCTGAGAACATACTATTTGGAGTGCAGACAGGTACCACCGTGGTCTGGGAGCCCCAGACGGCATGAAGAGTAGTTCCAGGCTGTGAGCCCCCCAGGGCACCGCACTGCCAGGCTCTGCAAGATCTTCATAGATAAATCCCTCCGGAAAATGAGCTCACAAATCAAAATTACGAGCCGTGCGAGGAATCAAGCCCCATGAGTGACAGTCAGCAGATGGGAACACATCACTGAGTTATGTCCCCAGGAGTCTAATGCTTTCTGACCATCCTACTACCTCTTAGCTGTGATTCCTCCCACTAGCAACCCACCCACAGCTGTCCATCCTTCGGCTCAGGATGAAGCCGGCTTGCCACGGCTGTTGGTGAGGAACCTCCAGGCTGGGTGGGGGGAGGGAGGGGGCTTCCTAGCAGCGCTGTCCCTTCACCTTGCTGGCCTCCACAAGGGAGGTCATACCCCCCTTTAGCTCCCTCTTGGCTGCCTATTAAAGTGCGAGGGTGGGTCTTCAGCCAGCAGCAGATCACTGGACCTCAGGTATTTGACTAAAAGTAAGACTTTCAAGGTTGGGCAGGTGTCCTGGGCCTTCCGGAGTCTGGCATCCCTGGCCAGAGGGATTTCCGCATGGCGTGGGATCCCAGCTGGAGCAACTCGGCTCTTCTGGGATCTTCGCGTTGGATCTGGTGGTGGGACGTCTCTGTCCTCTCGACAAGTGTCAGGTGCAGCCAACCCGGTCATGCGGGTCTGAGGACCTGATGGCCAGGCCCACACAGCCGCACCCCTCTCAGCCGGGAGCTTGAGATCAGGGGCCCCTCGCGGTGTGGTGGGAGCTGGAAGCCCCGACCACGGTCCCGCCACGCAGCGCCCCCGGGCGGTGAGACCACGGGAGGGGCATTCCATCTTGTCCTGTGTAGCTGTGGTCTCTCACATCTGGACGTTGTGAGTGTCTGAGTCATGGTTTCCGTGTGGGCACGGCCCCCGAGCAGCCTGGGGTCAAACGCAGTGCCCAGTCCCAGCGGGTCCACGGCAAGTGCACGTAACCCCCCCGGGGCCCCATTTTAGGTCTCCTTCCTTGTGCTGCCTTTGCCCCTCATCCTCACACACGGGCAGCCGCACCTTCCTACGCATGGAGCGGCTGCCTGAAATCTCTCGTGTGTCCTGCTGGGACATGAGTCAAAGGATACACAACGAACAAATAAAAGGATAAGCCTGGAAATCTTATCAAAATGAGCTTCTGGTGGGGGAATCTAAAGACATACGCATTCAGCTCATGCAGGTCGTCACGGCAAGAGCAGGTGTCGCATCTGGGGTCTGGTGAAGGACGCTGGGCTGGGGGTTGGAACACACGGTTCTGAGGAGACCTGTCACCCCGAGTCCCCTTTGTCATTAGACACGGTACTTCCCCTCCCTTTCCTGATCTGTAACTTGGAAAGAGTAAGGTCTACTTCACAAAGCTTTTGCACACATTTAATAAAGGGAGCGGCCTCCGGGACCCAGGGCGGTGTGCGGCGCTCCGTTCGGGTCGTAAATGGGGTCACGGGCTCTCCTGGGGGGTCTCCCGTCCAGCAGCGCAGATACTGCCCTTTCAAGGCCTTCTCCAGACACATCCCTGGGGTTCGAAATGTACCCGGGAAAAGAGACCACCTTTACCGAGTGCCTCCAATGGGCACGGCAGCGGGGATTCCTTCCAGGATGAGGAAGGAGCCACAGAGCCCGTGGAGACACCAGAGTTTAGAGGGACCTTCCTGGAGAAACAGATGGAATGACGCCTTCCAGGGAAACTCTGCTGCAAGACACAGACGCTTTACAAAACCTCGGCTTCGTGGGTCCATTGTGACTCAGGAAAACACACGATCACCTGAGATCACAAAGGTTTCCTGGAAGCCGAAGATGAGGTTGTGGAGCCAGCGGCCGGGGCGCTAGGAAGCCAGTGGAGGGACGCCCCGAGCGCACCCGAGAAAGTGTCCCGGCTCCGGCAGCAGCAAAAGGGCTAAGCTGGCGAGGGAAAACGTAAGCCCCACGGGGGACGCAGAGAGGGACCGGCGCCGGGAGTCTTCAGAGGAAGGAGAGACGGGCACACAAGAATGAGAGAGAGAAGACACGCCTGCAGGCAGGAGCGCTCCGGGTCGGCGGCACCCAACCCCGCGGCTGAGGGGCTCCCGCACGGTGGTCCGTCCCAGGAGCGTGGACACCTCCCACGCCTGGGCCCCAGCGTGTCGGGCCCGGGCCCGGCATCCTCACGGGGACCGCTGTCCCCTCTGCAGCCGTTTGCTTCTAGCACCTTCTCTTTGGGCTCCTGCGTCTGGATGGGTAGAGAAGGCTGGACACATCGCCCGTCCCCCTTCTCTTCTGCTCCGAACTGACTGCCCCTGTCGGTCACAGGGCCTCTGTCCACTGTGCAAAGCCAGCCTGGACTTCAGCCTCCGTCAGTAAAACAGGAGAGTGAGCTACAGGGATGCCCGTTCCGATGACTCCCTCACGGGCTGGCCTGAAAGATCGCCGTGATCCATTAGCGGCGTCTGCGGCGGCCCCACGGGAACGACGCCAGCCTTCCTGACTGTGGGCTCAGCCTGACTTCTCTCTTCACTCTCGTCCACACTTCGGGATGAAAGCTCCAAGCGCGTCCCGCCTCCTGGCGTCGCTGAGCGGCTCGGCTTCCTGGAGGGCGCTCCACCTCGAGGCCCTCATTCCTGAGGCCACATGCAGGGGCCGCTGTGGCACCCCGGAGCCTGGGGCAGGTGCCGTGAGAGTCCTCAGCTCTCCGCGTGGCTGTGGATCTTCCTCTCGCCCATGTCCACCCGCGTCCACACCCCAGAGCGCCCAGACACGCTGCGTCAGGAGGCAGCAGGGGACGTCATGCTTCTTCGTGCCGCAAACGCCGAACCAGGCCACTCCTGACTCTGTCTGATGTGGGGGCTGTGCCAGGAGCTCAGAGACTTGTGGGCACAGATGCAGGGAGTGTCCCCTGCCCACTGGCCGTCCGGCCAGGCCCTCGGTGCCCACGTGCTCCCTGTCGGAGTGGCAACTGGGGGTGACTGTCGCCGCCCGGTGGAGACCCCGACTCTTCGCCCATCACCTTACCCTTCTCTGAGTCCTGCCCTCACTCCGCCCCATCGTTCACGAGGCAGATCGTGTAAGAAATCCCAACAGCGCAGTGAAAAATGAGAGCTGCAAGCGGGACAGACGAGGGAGCCAGCCGCGTGTGGGACACGCAGACACACGCAAACTCAGCCGAGCGTAGGAGTGCTGAACGCGCACAGGAGGGGAGGACCCAGTGGGCACCAAATATTCAGGACACGATGTGCTCCAGGCACGGGAGACACTCAGTGCTCATGCCTGGCAACACCCCATCTGGCCCTTCACCCTCTGCCCCGGGCCGGGCACACCTGCGGGGACAGCTCAGCGGAGACACAGATGTGGGGCCGGGCACACCTGCGGGGACAGCTCAGCGGAGACACAGATGTGCGGCCGGCCAGGGGCTTTCTGCCGGTGGACCGCCCGGTCGGGCCTGCACGCTGGTCCTTGCAGCCCATGCCAGGCGGGGAAGGCTGCTGGGGCCAGAGATATTGTGTGACCCAGTGTGACACCCACTCCAGCCGTGTCCGTCCCCGGCTGCTCATGCGCGTTCAGAACCGACGCACTGGACTGTGATAGGCCCCTTCCTGTCCCGGGACCTTCGTCTGGGCAGGCGGGTCTGGCAGTGAACATGGAGGCCGGTCACCTTCCCCACGACACTCCGCTCTGCCAGTCCTGCCGCCCCACGGGGCTAATCATCATCCCCAACGCACACGCGCTATCCTGCCTCTGCACCTTCGTTCACGCTGTTCCCTCCTCCCAGAGCGCCCTTCCCCTCCATCATCCTCACGGCCGGCTCTGGTGTCCCCTCTGGGGGGTGTCCTCCCCAGCGTGCCAGGGGCCGTCGCCACTCGCCTCTGGACCCCCTCAGACTCATGAGCGTTTCTCCCACTAACGGGTGATTGAGGCCAGAGACCACGCCTGACCTCCGCCGCCCCACGGCTCTCACAGACCGAGGACGCCGCGCACGGCCACGCCTGCCCGAGCCTGGGGGCGGAGCATCGGCGCGGTCACTCTGGCTTGGACGCTCCCTCCTCTCTGTCACTGTCATAGCTTAAAACTTGCTATTTTTCCTTCACAGGTGACACCTGGCTCACTTTTGCCGCCTGGATGATGCGTCCTCGGCAGAAAACGAGTGCGCGCCTGCCACACGTTTAATTCTACGTGTGACTGTAATTTTCTCATTAAAGCAAATCCGCCCTGTGCCTCGCTGCATCCGAGACGGACGGGGCGCCCGCAGCTGCTCCCGGGCCGCCGAGAGAATTCAGCCAGGTTCGCGCTCCCGCCCCCCGGGCTCAGGCCAGCACGGTCCGCTCGGGAACAGGGCCTCAGGATGTGCCTCAGAGCGCAAGGATGTGCCTCGCTAGGCTGGACTTCACTCAGCGAGCTTCCCTGAGTGGGTCGTGTAGTCATTGCCCCTAACCTTAGAAATGACACTAAGTCTTTGTACGTGAAACCAAAAACACAGACGCGACCTTCTCCTGCCCGCAAACAAGAAAACAAATCCAGGAGGTTGGGAGGGAGGTGTCATCCCCTCCCACTTACCAGTGAGAAGCCCAAGCTCAGAAGCACCGAGTGACTTGTCCGCCATCACACACAGAGCGGGAACCGGGGCCCTGCACGTTCCGGCCTTCCTTCCGATCCCGCCAGCCCCGGTTCTAAACAGTGCGCTCACGGAACGGAACCATACCCCGCTAGTATGCACGACCCTGACTCGGCTTCACCAGCCCTGTCCTCACCGAGGCTCCAGGTGTAGCGCCTTCACGCACTGGGCTGAAGAATGCGCCCGCCGCTCCCCTGAGCGCACCCTTGAAGTCTCAGAGACAGTGGGGTACCCAGATGTCCGCGGCTATGCGGCCCGGGTGAGATTTGGGTCCCAGCACCGCCCAGGCCGGCGTCAGCAGGCTCCGAGGTCAGAGGTTTGGACAGAGATCCGTGGGCCGCCCGGATGGGGCAGGAAGGAGGGCGAGGCAGGGGCAGGACAGCGCATTGCTGGGGGGAGGGCAGCAGGTCTGGCGCAGCCTGGGAGCTCCGACCGCGTGCTCAGTGGATGCCCCCCGCCGTCCCGCCCCTGTCGTCACTCAAACACTGTGGCCCTGGAGCCTGTGTTTCTGAAATGTTCTCTTTTTATAAATACGAAAAAAAGTTATTAAAATAAACGCATCAAGCTTCACTCCTGTTACCATTTACATAGTCAAACACAAAAATCCACTTCTTAAAAACAACAAAAATGAAGCCGGAGCCCCCATTCGAATACATGTTAACTTAAACAAGCACACAGATGCCCCCAAGCCCCGAAGATGGAGCCCGGCACGTCCGGAAGACCTGCAGCCGGCGGTCCAATGCCCCACTGTGGCCCTGGCTGCAGCTGTCCCCGGGTCGCGAGCCCGCCGGCTGTAGAACACTACTTACTTGATCATCTGCGGCACGGTGACCTTGGAGTTCTCCTCGAATGCATTCATCATCAGCCCGTTGCACCGGATGTTATCCACACACTGGAAGCGGGGGGGGGGGGGGCCCAGGGTCAGAGCCACGGCCGCCACCCCGGGCCCCACAGCAGCTGTACCCAGGGAGTGGCTCACGGGCCCAGCCTGACGTGGGTCCCCATGCCTTAGCGTCGTCCTGGCAAGGGAGGGTCAGCCGCAGCCTCCCTACACTCCCACCGGGGGCCGCCTCTGACTCCAGCAACATTTTGGGGACTCGCCTGACCTCCCTGGGCGCGCGGATGACGCCTACCTAGCTGGGTTGTCGGCAAACGGGGGCACCCGACCTGGCCGCTCTGTCGCTGACCTCTGGGGCCTGGTGGGAGGGGCCAGGTCAGGTCCACCGTGGCCGGCACCAGCCTCCATGACCCTGTGCGGACATGCACACGTCCTGCACCCTGGTCCTCTGTCAGCCACGGTCACACTCTGGGGCCGCAGACGGTTTCCACGTTAGAAACCCCGTCTGGGAGAGACCAGGCTGCTGGGACCGGGGGCACAGAGGCCCATGTTTCCCTCAGCCTCGGAGAAACTCAAAATTCACATTCTGCTTTGAATCAGAAGTGTCCCCCAACGAGCAGTGCGGCTCTGGGGGGTCCTTTCCTCGCCCCTGCCCCCGGCCTTCCCCTCTTAGCTGCGGGCGCAACTCACAATGTCCTGGTTTCGAGGGCTCGTGTTTCAGGGAGGCTGGCAGAGGGGCCGGCCCAGCGGGGGCGGTCCACCCGGTCTGCTGGGGACCAGGGTCCCGTCAAGGCTGGCCCCCCTCCCCCGTTCTTTGGGATGGGGTCGGGCAGAGGGAGGTTCTTGTTCCTTGCACTTCCCAGCCCAGCGTCTTCAACCCGCGGCTCTGAGGCTCCCTTCGGCTCTGGTTCTATCCGCAGCAGTGGAAAGTCGGTGCCTGGCCATGGCTCCCCGGAGGCATTGGGACCCCGGGAGAGGCCTGTTCTGCCCCCCGGGGCCACTGGCAACCTCTTCCAGACTCAGCCTCTGCCCTGGTCCCACGGGAGCCCACAGCCCCCTGGGTCAGCTCACCGGTCCCTGGGAAGTCTCTGCTTCCGGCCTCACCGCCAGACCTGCCTGCTACCCCCAGGTGATACGGGGCCAGAAGGGGAACTTCAGATTGTCACTGTTTGTGGGCCGGCCTGGACATTCAGCTCAGTGTCGATCCCCCAAAGCCAAAGTACTGTTCCCAGTGGGGTGCGCCGCCCTAACGTGTGTGCAAAGGCAGAGGCCAAGGTTTCTCTCTGCATAGCTGACACTAGGCCTTGCAGGGCCCTTCCTGTCTCTCCAAGCTCTGTGATGCCCAGCATCCTAGGGAGGTGGTGCTCAGACTTTTCTGTGCCTGCCAAAGCCCTGGGGCATATGTGCTAAATAGCAGATTCCCAGGCTTTGTGCCCGAAACTTGCATCTAGGAAGTCTGTAGGGAACCTCAGGGGAGCTCAAGAATCTGGAGTTTTAAAAATCACTGTAGGGCATGATCCAGGTGCAAGGGGCTCCCCGCCCAGACTCTGCCAACGGGAGGGGACGGCTGGCCTCAGCCTTGGCCGGCGCTGGACCCGGAGGACACCTGCGTCTTTTCCATCAGAACCTTGCCCCCGGGGCCCCAAGAGCTCAGGCATGACGGGACCGCATGCTTCCAGGAACAGGTGATCTTGCTAACCTGGCTGATGTCACTGGTCCACGCCGCCTTCTCCTGTCTGGACGAGGCCACAAGAATGACCGTGAAAGGCGGGGAATCCTTGGGCTCCACCCCGATCTTAAAATCCAAGTGGTCTATGTCTTGGTTGGATCCTTTGGCTTCCAATTGCAAAACATGGAGTTAGCAGAATGGGCGGGGCCCTTTGTGAGCTGGGAAACATCGTAACGATGCCCTCCCTGGGTCACCCGCGGGTGAAGGCCCCGCAGTGGCCCCTCGCTCCCTATAGAACATCTCCTCCCCCCGTCGGTGAGGAATCCCCACCCCAGAGACGAGCAAAGGTGTGGAGTGAGGAGTCGCTCACGAGCACACGGGGCCGTCCTAGCAGCAGAGCCGGGGAGCCCGGGTTGGGGGGTCGGCCTCTGGGCAACGGGCAGCTGAGGTCCGGAGTGAGGACATCCTGGAGACACGGCAGCCGCGGCGAAGCCAGGACTAGAACCGGCCTCACCGCCAGACCCGCCCGCTACCCCCAGGTGATACGGGGCCAGAAGGGGAACTTCAGATCGTCACTGTTTATGGGCCGGACTGGACATTCAGCTCAGTGTCGAGCTCCCCAAAGCCAAAGTACATTCTAGGTATTTTTGTTACTATTCTCAACCTGAGAACTTCCTTGCACTCTTGGGAGACTTAAGAGCACAGTTTATGGTGCCTTCCAGGGTGCCCGCATTAACTGGGGGTACAGCGAGTGGGGCGGAATGGTGTGGGGCCGTCGCTGGTGATGTGACCCTGGGGGGCCCTGCCCGCCCTCCTCCCCAGGCTGCAGACCATATCCTGTACAGAGTGGATGTGACGTGTCTGGGGCCCCACCCTTCCAGTTCTGACACTCAAGAGTTTTCGGGTTCCGTGCTGGGCACGGGAGCCCCTGCTCTGGTGGCGGCTCAGGGTTGGGACGGTGCTGGTTGCTCTGGGAAGCAGGCTGCCTGTGAGGGAGCGTGCCAAGCAGGGAACATATGGGCCCTGGAGGGAAAAGGCCTTTGGGGCCTGACCCTTCTGCTTGAGTCTGGGCTTCCCCGTGGCCCAGCTGTGGCCAAGATTAGAGCAGGTCAGGCCTCAAAGAGCGCTCCGGGTGGACCGCGTTACACGTTTGTCCTGCCCTTGGGGGCAGCGTGGCTCGGCTCCCAGGGCAGGGGCAGGAAAGTGTGTGAGTGTGGATGGGGCCCCGGACCCCCTGCAGACCACCCCCCGATCTGAGGTGGTTCAGACGCAGCCCTGCCCTGAGGCACCCCAGTCTGGGGAAGGACAAAGATGCAGAGTCCTCCTGGGATCCCTCCAAGGGGAGGGCGGGGGGGGGCAGAGCAGAAGGGACGTGAGGACCAACGTCAGCCCAGTCAAGCAACAATAGTGACCCCATCCCCCAGTGACGCCCAGGGAGGGAAATCCCACAGAACCCCTCCACACCAGCTCTCCTGCCCCCCACCTCCCCACTGAGTCCCCCTCCCTGCCGGGGCTGCCACCCCATGTGTCCTCATTCCTCCCACTGGAGGACAGAGCCATGCCTCCCCGGCCCCTTCTGCATGATCCGGGGGAGCTACTGTGCATGGGACCCATGGACACGTGAATGACGGGTGCTCATGGGGGTGCTGGGACCCCAAACCGAATGGGACCAACAAGTCCAGGGGCCCAAGGAGCGTGGAGGGAAACGGGACGGTGGACGGGGGCTCCCACCTGCTGGCTGGCCTCACTGGGTCCAGGACCGGGACCACCACACCTCAGAGCCCTCCATGCCCCCAGCAAGACTGGGCCGGGGCGAGCGGGTGTCTGCTGAGCGCACACAGACTCATGAGCGGCTCGCACACCTACCGTCTTCCTCCGTGTTCTCTGGGTCCTCCAGCAGGGTGCAGTCGATGAGGGAGATGACCCCATTCTGAAAGACAGCAGGGACCACCTCCAGTCAGCGGGGACACGCGGGGCAGAGCCCCGCGTATCGGGGCGGGACATGGACCTACAGGTGTGCACGCGCATATGCACACGTGTGTGTGCATGTCGTGTTCCCGTGGGCATTGTGGTTTTCGTGTCAAAGAACATTATCCTCAGGTAAGAAGCCCCATGAGGTGGTTCAGGTGGGACCGTCTCACACGGGCTTCCCCCGAATTGGGTCAAGGGACACCTAGGGCCGGGGGTACAGTCCGCACCGTCTGGACCCCTCAAGTCTGGGCTGCACCTTCACATCACCAGCTGGGACGCAGGGCAGTTGACTGGATGCGTCATAGGTCCCATTCTGATTTTACAGGTGAGGAGAGGAGATCCGGGGGAGGGGTCTGACCCGAGGTCACCTGGCCACCAGTGCTGGGGTTGGGGAGAGCCTCGAGGCCTGACCTTGCCCAGGTCACTTGCTGGCTGCCTGTTCTGAGGGACACCTGGGAAAGGGCCTCCCGTCCTTGAGTATGGGAGCCTCTCCTGGGTGTGAGACACCCCGAAACCGTGAGGAACAGGGGCCACGACCATGGCCCACCCCCTCAAAAGGTGAGGTCAGCTTTCCTCCCCGTTGAGTGCGGGCCGGGCTGGTGGCCTGCTCCTCGGGTGGCGTGCACCTCCTGCTTGCTCTCTGGGTGCCTCTTGGACCACGTGTTCTGGGGAAGCCGACTGCCATGTGGGGAGGCCACCCCGGGAAGGCTGGTGCAGCCCCTGGGCCTGGACGTGACCCCGTGAGACCCTCACCCCCTTGCCACCCAGCCGAGGGGCTCCAGGCCGCCCGGCTCGGCATCTGAGAGACCATGAATGCCGTGAGCCACTCTGTCTGGGGGTAACTTGTCACCCGGCGCGGACACGTAACGTGAGAACTGAGGGCAACAGACACCCAGCCACGGTGTTTGCAGGGCAGGCTGCCCCCAGGACGCAGAGGCGGCCCCAAATCCTGGGTTCTCGCTTTGCTCTTTGGCGGCCTCGGCGAGCCCCTAGGCTTGACCGTCGGCAAAGCCCCACGTTTTGCTCTGACAGCCTCTTTCTCCCGAAGATCCTGCCGAAGTTTTAGATCTTGGGACACGTCTCAGAGCGTCGGGAAACGGCCCGACTTCAGCCTGTGGTTTCGGAGCACAGATCCCGGAGCCAGACGGCCGGCCTGGGTTCAAAGCCCCGCTCTGCCACGGGCGGGCTTCTAGACGTCTCTTACAGACGAGGAAGGAACAGCATCTGCTTCAGCGGGTTGTCTCGGAGGCGGATGCACGTGAAGTGGGCGGGTAGCGCCCGGCCCACGGTGATCACGCGAGCGCTCGCGGCCACGATCGTTGTAGTTCATTGCAGCAACAAGAGTGACGATCTGCACCCGCCGAGCTCATACCGCGTCCCAAGCGCTGGGCACGCACTTTGCACCCACTCCCTTAATCCTCACAGCACCCCCTGAAGCAGGTGTTTTCACTCCCGTGTGCAGATGGGTAAACCAAGGCTTGGCGGGCGCCCACTAGTTGGGGGCCCTGCGGGCACTGGAACAGCACTCCCGTGTTCTTTATGCTGAGGGAATTTAGAAGCTCAAACACCCCCGTCCCAGCCAAAACAAGAGAAAACTCACAAACAGAAAAACACATGTTTTCAGACTCCATCTCCGCGCGACCTGCCCCGCTGACTGCTGCCTCCTGGGGGATGTCCTCCCCCCGGCACAGAACCTCGCGGCAGAAACCCCAGAGCTAATAAATAAGGAAAGCGCTCCCTGCTCTCCTAGCAGCTCACGGGAGGTTACGGGCCAGGCATCCAGGGTCTGGAAGGACGGTTTGCCTGACGCTCCGGCACCTTCCAGCCCTTTCTCGGCCGCAGCGTGTTCAGGCGCCAGGTCCGCTGAAGCAAGCTTCCAGGGGAGCCCTGCTCAGAGGCCCACGTGCTTCACCTCAATCGGGCACTAGCCACCTGCCACCTGCGCCCCCGCAGAGCCCCTGCTGGGGATTGTTACCCCTATTCTGCAGACGAGGAACGGAGGCAGAGACGGGGGCCAGAGCCTGAACTCAGAGCCGCGAGATAAGCAAGCCGGGGAGTAGGAGATCCTGCCCGGGGTGCACCTTTCCCCGTGCTGTTTGAGCAGCCATGAGGACAGGAAGGCGGTGCTCCAGGGGAGAAAGAAGCAGACGGCACGAGCCAAGGCCCTGTGGTCTGGGAAGGAGCGGGAGGAGCTTGAGGTGCTGATTCCCCTTACTTTTTCCCTTTTTGACCATTTCATCATGGGGGGAAGCTGGAGTGCACTGCCCCCCACCACAAATGATGCAGTCGAGTTTCCTGCACTTGCGGAAATTGCAGGGCTGCCCTCATCCGGAGGCCATGGAGAAGCCTCACCCTTGGAAACCAGTTTCGTGATCACGGCATCTCCCCTGACAGGTAAGTGTTCCCCTTTCCTTGTGGGATGGACCAGTTAGTTGAGTGTGTGGGGTCTTGTGTGGGGCTGCGAGGTGCTGAGGGCTGGCCCTGTGTGCAAGCAGCTCCGTGGGCTGCTCGCGGGGCGTGGACGCGCCCGGTGCTTTTGCACCCGCACCGTCGGGCCGGAGGAGGCCTCGGGAGCGGCGGTGTGAGCGCCTCCTGAGGGAGGGAAAGGGTCCGGGGCTGTCTCACGCGGCCCCTCCCACACTGCGGCGCATGCACACACACATGCAGGTGTACCCTCAGGGCTTCGCCTGGACCCCCTGGCTCTTCTGCCCTGGCACCAGCAGCTGGGCTCTCTTGGGGTCCCGACACCACTCACCCTCCCATTTCCCATGATGTCTCCAGAAAACCCGACCGCGGCCGGCTCCCTCCAGCCCGCCCGTCGGACCAGTGCACACGTGTGCACTCCGTGTCTCTGCCCACGGGTCCCGGGCAGGGCGGTGCCCACCACGAGCCCCCCGTAAGCCCAGCCCCAGTGGCCCCTACCTTGGTCAGGTGGAGCTTCCCACCAGAGCCCCTGGTGCAGATAATCAGATGCTTGGAGAACAGGAAACACTGCCGCTCGCCCTCCTTCTTCAGGGAGAGAGACCCCAGGCGGCCCCTGGTGATCTTGCCCTTCTCAGACATGGGCACCTGGATGAGGGAGCCTGTGGGTGGGGGGCAGACCCTGAGCCCAGTCCCAGAGCTGCGTTCGCCTCTGGCCAGCTCGGCAGCTGTGGGGGTCCCAACACCGGGACCAGGGAGTCCCGGTTCCTGGCAGCAGGTGCGCACCCCGGACGATGCTCCCTCGGCCCCGTCAGCCCGATGGCAGAGAGGCATGCTGAGCAGGGCCCCCAGGCCCCTGGCCAGGGCCTTGGCAAGCGGGGGAACCTTCCAGGGCTGGGCCTGTGTGGCAGGCATGCAGGGCTGGGCTGGGGTCTGGGGGGCAGCACATGTGGGGAGCTGGCCCGGACAGATCAGCACCGCGCACAGCCCTGCGGCCCGTGCCGGGCAGACATCACCAATCAGGTGCGGCATGTGGGCTGCAGAGCCAGACTGAGCCCCGTCCCGGACACTGGGTGCTGGGAGCAGGTGTTGGGGACGAAGCCCCCTGCGCACCTGCGCTGGCCCCTGCCCCTGGCACACACAGCACGCAGTCCTTCCCACCTACTCAAGGCCTTCCCGGTCAGGCACGGGCATGCCCCCTCCTGAGCCACCTAGCTCCAGCTCATCACCGTGCTCCTCAGGGCCACTCCCGGCCCGGAAAGCCCTTCCTTTCCAGCCCGAGAACTACTTGTCCTCCCCCCCGTCCACTCTGCCCCGTGTCCATCCCTGCCCGGACCCCTGCCCTGTGTCTGTCTCCTCACGGCCCCCTGACCCCACAGGTCTAGTCTCGGGCTGTCCCTGGAGCCCAGTGTTGGCCCGGCATGAACGAGGCAGGTGCCAGCGCTGGGTACATGACTAATGAATGAGAAAGGGCTTTCTGGATCCCCCTGCCCGGTTCCAGGTCCAGCACGGCCCCATGGGAGGGGAGAAACACTCTGCTTGGGGAACAGAGCAGATTCCTGGTCTGTGGGGATGCTGCCCGTGCCAGGAGGGGCCATTATTTGGGCATTTCCAGCGTGGGCCCAGTGCAGCTCAGGCAAGCAGGCCAAGGCTGGGGAAGGGTACGGGGGCCATGCGGGGGCTCAGAGCAAAACTCCAAGTTGAGGACAGGTGCAGAGCCAGCTGCCCAGGCTGGAGGAGGGGCTGGCAAGCCTTTCTTCTGGTCAGAGAGTCCCAGGGCCGGACAGAAGGACCTCGGGGCATGCAAGCAGAAGCCTCTGCCCATAGAATGTGGGCTCTGGGCGGGGCACCCCTCAGGAGCAACGAAGCTCCAGCCGCCCCGCGTGGGCAGCCAGCCCCCTCCCCGGCCCAAACTGGGGCTGTGCCTCCCAGATGCGGCTCCCCAAGAGGCCGAGGATGACGAGCAGAGGACAGAGGGACTGAGCCACACCGCCTGTGCCGGAAATGCTTGTGATCCAGGGCCGATCTGTATCTGTCTTCATTCTCGGCTCCCTAAAACACGTGTCAGCGTTTACTAGGACGCAGGACAGACACACCAGACCATCTGGGAAGAAGTGCGTCTACCTCTGGAGGGAAGGAAGCCGTGGAGGCCCACAGGACCCGTACGTGGATGTGACACCCACAGCCCTCCAGTGGCCCTGGGACACTCTACAGGCACGCCACTTGGAGGGGCCCAGGGGCCACCTGGGACCAGGGGGTGGGGGGTGCCTACCTTGTCTCACAAAAGTCTGGCTGGTATCCAGCAGGATCTCGCAGCCTTCAATAATCATGCGCTCAATGGCGAGGTTTTTCCGGATGTTCTCCGTCTCACTCACTTCGTCATGCATTATCCTGCGGGGACGAGAAATAAGTCAGGGGCAGGAGGAAGGGACGTCAGGCCTCTGGCCAGACCCAGCGGGAAAGCCTGGCCCCGAGGACTCTCGGAGCCTGCAGTCATGAAGGGGGAGAGGGCACGCATTTATTGAGTGTCCACTGTGTGCTGGACACTCTACAGTCAGGCATGGTCTCCTTCTCTTCTTCTGGAAACCCAAGGAGGCAAGCGTTTTTATTTCAGGGAAAAGGAAATGGAGGTTAACAGTGAGGAAGCAGGTCTGTCTGATCTAAGAGTCTGAGCCATGTGCAACCAAATGGCAGAATGGGGAGGACGATGGGAGCTCAGCAAACATCCTTTGTTCATTAGTCTGTCCCTTATCCCACTACTGGCCTTATTTTTATCCACAGAACAAACCAAGTTCATCCCTGCCTCGGGGCCTTTGCACTTGCTGTTTCTGTCCCTTGAATGCTCTTTATACGGTTGTTTCCTTAACGCTGTTTGGGTTCTGGAATGGCTGAGTTTTGGAGCGCTGGCAAGTCGGCTGGCTCAGGGAGAGACTGACTTCAGTTTACGTCCACAGGCTCCGGCACATCCGGGAGGGAAGCCGGACACAGCACGTCCCTCATCTGAGCCTACGGACAACTCTGTCCTGTTCTGACTGCCGCAACGCCCCTCCTCTCCAGCAGGTGGCGCCGTCTACCTGCTTTTAAATAAGCGTTTGGCTGCGGCGGCAGCCGTGGGGGCGGGTGTTGGGAAAGAGGCGCGTGGATTTCCAGGGGTCGGGAAGGTGATGAGTAATTTTGCGGGGAGTCTGTTAGAAGTGCCCCGCCTGCTCCAGTGCGCTGGGGGATTCAGCACGTTGAGCAAGTACTGGAGGCCCCTGGCCCTCAGTCCCCCCACCTGGAGGCTTTCACGGGGAGGGGTGGGGGGGATGGGTTTCATGCCCTGGCCCGACATCTGTCGCATGGCGGGTGCTTTGGTGAAGAGCGGTGGTCAGCGCGTTGGAACTCGGAAGGCATTTCTGTCTGTTGTTTCTTCTGCTGTGGGACCCGGGCTTCGGCGTGCGGCCTCGGCGCCCAGGGGCAGCCCGCCTCCGGGAGGGACGTGGGACCCGGGAAGCCGCCACGGCTTGGGAAGCAGCCGCAGGAGATGGGAACCACCCCTTCTGCGGAGGGTGAGGAGTCTCCCCAGCAGGGCTGTCGTTCGTGAAAATAAGGGGGTAGTTCCAAAGCAGCGAACCTGGTTTTGCCGTGAGACACGCGTGGACGGCCGCTGCTCAGACCATGCCAGCCCCGGGCTGGGGTCTGCGTCGGGGTCCCCAGGCTGCACGCGCAGCTCATGCACATGGGGGGGCTGGAAGTGCTGCCTGGTTCTCAGGGAGCCAGGCGGGTGGGGGTCAGGAGGACGGAGGGGCGGGCCCAGAGGCGGGTGGGAGCCAGTCCCAGGGAGGTGGGTGTTTGTGAGCACAGCCAGGGGGCCCGGAAGCTCTCCTGGGCCCCACCCCAGGCAGGGCGCGGGGGAAGGGCTGCTGTCGCGGAGACGGGAAAGCCCCCTTCCGTGCACTAGGGTGGCCCTCTGGGGCAGGTGCAGGTGATGGGGTGGGATGCCCGGAACCCTGGGGCATGGGAATCGGGGTCTCAGGCCAAGCACCTTGGCCCACGTCTGCCCCCTGCACCCCTTGTGTGCATGGGGACAGGGTGCCTCACTGCCTTACAGGTGCCTCGGGCCTTCTCCTTGGGGAAGAGTGTGCAGGATGTGGCTCCCTGGGACTCAAAAGGACAGAGGTTTTGTGAGTCTGCAATCACACCCTGCTAACACCCTCGCCCACCCTGGTCCAGCGGTCCTCCCTCTGCCCAGGGGGGAGCTGTGGCCTGACTGGCTGCCCCGGGTCAGCCTGAGGAAGCCTCTTAGGGCCCCGGGCAGGGCTGCTGTGGGACTCCGCAGCCTGCAGGCTGACCTCCTTTGCAGCTTCCGGCAGCCTGTCTCTGGGCACAGGGCTCCCCACACCGTGGGGCCCCCAGGGTGGTCTCACCAGTCTCGTGAGGACCCCTGACCTCCAGACACTAATGTCCTGCTTCCCTCCCACCATCTCTGCCACTGCTGTCCAGCTCCGGTCCACGAAACAGGAAGGACTCCCCTCCAAACCGCCCCTCCTGCACTTTCCTCCACCCTCCTGGCTGCTCAGCCCAGGACCCTGCAACACCCCCTTCCCCCCCTCAGTCTCTGTCCCTCCAGCTAACCTGCCGGAGACTCCTGCTGGTTCCACCTTCAAAATGCCCCTGGAATCTGAGCCTCCTCCCCACCCCCACGGCCACCATCTGCCACCGGCTGTCATGTCGGGGTGTCACCTGGGTGCCCAGGGGTCTGGCCTGAGACCCGATCCCTCTCCCCCAGGGTCCTGGGAACACAGCCTGCTCTTCCACCTGGGCCCCTCAGCTGCTGCGCTCGCAGAGAGAAGGCTCCCTTGGGCTCCCCTGGGCTTTGGAGACTGGGAGGGGGCAGGTGTGGGGCCCCGAATGCAGGCCCCCAACTTGTGCCCCCACTGACACCATGGGCTGCAGACCAGAGTCTTAGGCATGTGGAGCCACAGGGTTGGCAGAGCCTCACTGGAGGACAGAGGAAACGGGCCCCCGTGAGTGTCCTTCTCCAAACCCTCCGTGCCAGGGACACACCACCCGTGCCGTCCTGCCGGGGCCCACCTGGGCTAGAGTCATAAACATCTGCTTGCGGAGTCTCTGCTTCCCACTGCTGTAGGCTGAGCCCCTGCCTCCGAATTCTAACCTGCACACCAGCATTTGTCACCCGGGGCTGGAACTCCCGGAGGGGCATTCTCAGCCCCAGCCTGGGGCCTGGCCACCGGCGTGGGGCGCCCAAAGGTCAGGCTCACCTGGACAGTTCCTCCAGTTTGGATTTGGCGTAGTCCAGGCTGTTGCGCTCCACATGCTCATGAGGGGTGTGAGCCAGGAGCTCATGCAGCGTCAGGATGTACCTGGGAATCTGGTGTGCGGGATGGCAAGGGGACAGGGAGCGAGACAGAGGGACAGAGGAGGGATGGAGACAGA